ATTCTAATCAGGTGCTGTTTTAAGCACACTGCTCTCCCCCTACATGATTTGATGATGAATAGTCATCAAATTGTCAAATTCTGAACACATTTTAATGACTTCTAAATCATTGTGATTTTTACTTTCCACAATAGTGAGCTATTGGTGTAAAACACACTTTTCAGCTTTTAATAAATTTTGAAACTGTATTTTTAGAGACCTGGAATGTAAATGTTTTTGTGATTTGTAAAAGTGGTTTATGCTAACTCTGATCAGTAATGCTAAAGACCTTTACTGATATCCTTTGATTTTAAACAGGGTAGCACTTGATGGAAAGCTTTTACTGCACATGCAGTAAAGACTTTTTGCAATCTCAAACATTATAAATAACATTACTAAAATACTTAAACAGAATAATGAACCAAAGAATGAGTCTGGATAGTTTTATGGTCCAAGTTTGATGTTTTATTGTCTGGGAAAATCCTGTTTCACCAAATGAGCAAATGTACTCTATTGTCCTGAGATCTATTGACTCTGGAGGTGGTTTAGTACAGTGAACTCACTGTCATGTTCGGAAACTAGTTAAAGGTGATTTGAGCATTGTGACCTGGTGTTTTATCCTGCTGAAAACAGCCATCAGAAGATGGTGCTCATAAAGTGGGAAGGACACCATCAGCAGCAAAGCTAATGCAGACCATGGTGTTTGAACAATGGTCAAGAGACACAGTGTGCAAATATCCCCCACACCATTACACCACCAACAACCTGGTGTGGTCTTCTGCTGCTGTAGCCCTTTTGCTTCAAGGTTGCACGTGTTGTACGTTGACAGATGCTCTTCTGCATATTTAAGTTACTGTTTCCTTCCGTTAGCTCCTTTTTTTTTGTGGACCAGTCTCTGTAAACCCCAGAAATGGTTGTGTGGGTAAAATCACAGTATATCAGCAGTTTCTGAGTTTCATACCAACCCAATGACCACATTCAGTCACTTAAAACACCTTTCTTCCTTATTCCATTTCTCAGTTTTAACTTTACCAAGTAATCTTGACCATGTCTACATGCCTACTTGCACTGAGTTGCTGCCACACTGATCAGATGTGTTGATCACTATATGTCGATGAAACAGTGTTAATATTAAAGAATCTGCTTGGAAGAAGTGCTGATCGTTGGTAACTCATGCAAACTCTGTCATCTTCTTTCCGATCAGGAGGAGGCAACGGCAACGCTCTGTATATCGACTCTGAGCTGAACCACGGGCGCACTGGCAGTTGCACTACCTTTGACAACCCGCCCCTGTGTGCAGAGAGCTTCCAGATTTCACTGCTAGAGGTGTGGGGCTTCCAGGACACCATGGCCTCATAATGCTGAGCACATACATGCAACACATACTTAGGTATTCATCCACAAACACTTAAACATGTGAAATAAGAAGTCAAGTGTTTTAGGTGGAAAACAGACATGCAAACAAAACCACATCCGTCCTGCAAATTCAACTCTGAATTACTTTTTTAAAAAAATGTATTAAAGCAGTTTGTTCAAATTTCTGCAAATGAACAAAAATGTTTCTTTTTTTTCCTGTTTATTTTTGTATTTATAGATTTGTGTACTCATTTTGTTGACGTGATAATGGAAATGTCCAGGATCAACCTGCTGAGCAAAAACATTTGATTTTCTGAATGTAAATTTAAGTCCTTTTTTTCTTCTGTAGTTTATCTCAATCTGCCAAACTCATTGTTAAGCTAACTCTGCAGTCCTTACATTACTATCAGGTCATGAGGTTTACAACAGCATGTGTGAAGTCGAGTCTCCATGTTTGTGATATATGATGAACAAAAGAACCTAGATGTTAGAGAACCTGTCGTATCTTCCCACACTTCCTGATATATCATGATGGGAGATCTGACAAATGAATTCATAGTGTAAATGTTTATGAAGATCTAGTGAATTTTTATGTTGCCATTTTGCACCAGCTTTCTCTTTGAGTCTGTGATGATTGTCTCCCTTTTGTGCAGTATATGAATATAATGTTGTTGTTGTTTTTTTTCTTCTCCTCTACATCATTTTCCTGTTATTTCCGTCCTTTCCAGTATAAAGATTGTAATGAGAAGTTGAAACGCTGTCCTGTTCCTAAAGTGTCGTTGGGGGGCCTCTGTGTGAGAGTGTGGATTTGAAAATGTGCTTCAGTAAAGTGTCAATTGAGTAATTGCAAATGTGAAAATACAGCATTAAGCTTTCATCAGAGTCATTGTGTTGTCATTGTTATTTTGTCTTGTTACTGAAGGTGTTTTCACCCACACACTGCAGTCCAAAAACAGCTTTAAACATCCATTTCCCTAAAACAACTCAGTGTGAGAGTAATACTAATGAATTCACAGTGAATAAATGGGTGTAAGTAAAAGTATTTCTACTAGTGAGAATGATTTTGAAGCGAGCCATCTGCTGCGGTGAGGAAAAGTGAACTCCAGACCCTGATTCTCCTGACATTATCCACAGTTCACATTTGAAGATTTAGTTTTCTAATCCTTTCAAATCTGTCACGTTTGTTCCTGCAAAGCAAGAGTTGCATTTTCTCAGATTTTCACAGAAGTGTGCCACATGCCTTTACGGTCAGCTGACCACACATTGTCTTGTGTTTGCTCTGTACTCCCAGCGGTTACTTTCAGTTAGCCTTTTCCCAAAGGGACTGCAAAGTTATACAAGTGTATACTGAAAGCCATATCACATAGGGATTGAGTTTTTTTGGGAGGGGGTTGTAAGCCTTCAAAGCACCTCAAACCCACAGAGAAATCTGTGATATTAAAACCACAACTGACACCCTAATTAGCAGAAATTAAATTCTTGCAAATTGCATATAAATCTGTAGTAAAGCTCCAGCTTTAAACTACTAAGAATGACAAGTAAATTGCTCAGACACACGCACCACGTCTATTTTCGTTTGGCTGTCTTGTGCATGTCTCTCTTTTGTGGAAGCTGACACTGACGCTGCATGACTGGAAAATATTCAGCAGATATGAGTCAGATATAGTTATAAATATATCTTGGTAGTGAGCTGCGCTGCAGAATTCAATTCATAGAAATCCATGCCACATTTCAATCAAACCTAACAGAGAAACCGAGCCTGCTGTATTTGAATCATGCATACCTACCAACTCACAGCTGTGGAAACTGATACACCTGGTTATTTATCAGACATTTTATTTGGCATGTCAATGTGCAAGCGATCAATGTCAGTGCAGTCATATAAATTAAAAAAGCGCAAACTGATTTGCAGTGTGTGTGTGCGCGCCTCGCTGTAATGTATCTGCAGAGATGCAGCAGCTTAAATGGCGAAGGAGTGGAGTAATTCCTTCTTTTACAGTAAGTGGAATTGACTCTGTCTCACCAAGGCTGTGCTCTCCATTCAGGATTCACACTCTCCTAATCGCACATGCACGGCTATATTTAGCTGCTCCTTTGGATGCTGGTCTGGCGCATCTCCTTGAAAAACCATGCTTCTTAGCCTCGAGGAATAAGATGCTTAAGTGTTTAACAGTACACTGAGACTGGTCTTTTCCTTGACCGCCACCCCTGCCACTTGGCTTAGTGAGTGGGTGGGTTAAAACACAGGCTGAGGAGGTCCCAACGAGTACTGATCTGATTCAATGACTGAATATTGCAGGAGCTGGTACTGGGGTGTGTGTGTGTGTTTAAAATGATGTCGAGGATTTCTGTTTCTTATGTAAATTTAGACACTGGGTATCTCAGTGTTGTTATGTAAAGGGAAAATTTTACATTATCTATGACATATAACATGTGTGGAACTGAGCAGAATCACTGAAAGCTAAAGGATGACAGTGTGCACTGACACTTTGTAGCAAACGTGCCTTTCATGATGCCCTTGTGAGAACTTCTCACAGTTCCCTCTTTCCCTTCCTTAAAAGTAATTCCAGAGATCAGCCAATAAATTATAGCGTATGCTCTCCTTACAACACAGTCATTACCATTTACTCAAAACAAACAGGAATCAATGAAGTAGGTATGTAGACTATCACATTACATGCTATTAAATAGGCTCTGAGTATGAACACTATAATCCAGTCTCAGCTGAAATGCTACACACCTCTCTCTTCACCCCCCCACCCGGATCAATGAGTGTTCAGTCAAGGACCAGAAAAAGAGAAAACAGAAATGAAAGTCATTTCATTCATAGTGACCGTTTTGCTACCAGCATCACCACACACACAAACACACACGCCATCCCCATCTCCAAATGTTCTGTTCTTGTTTTATACCCCTGATTTACTAAGATACTGGCCAGTTAAAGTGATCGAAAGGAAGGAGGCCTGTGGTCCTTGTGGAGAAATGGCATCACGAGTCATGAGGCTATTACAGTAGCACTGGGGGAGGGGGCCTGCATGTAGTGCTGACTTGACTAGGCAATGCAGAGTGAGCAGGGTAAGAGGAATAGATGGGAGAAGAGGAGGAGGCATGGGGACTGCACAAGCTTTCTCTGAGTCACACATGCAGACATTCTTCATCTCTAACTCGGGGTGCGAGCTCTCATGACCCCTTCCTCTTTCTTAATCTCAGTGAAATGGGGATTCTCCCACTGTTATGTGGTACATTACTGCATATCACACCTGACTGCAAACCACCTTCCACTAAATGGCCCTAGCCCGGGTGCAAGGTGTAGAAAATAATAAATAAGATATCTATTGCTTTCACCCATCATTTCGTCCTCATTCTTCAGAAGGGTGAATTAAATGTAGATATCAAAGGGAAAGCCTGCAGCGGAGCATACCAAAGTGAAGCACAATAGGGGTGACCTTTAAAATAAAAGGTGAAAAGAAAGAACAAAAACGCTGTTTTTGCTCAGACTACGTCATTAAAACATCGCTTTAAACCCGTACATTTTCTTTCGTAAACAGTCTGTGTCGAACAGTAAATCATTAACCTTTTTTTTTTTACTGCGCCCCCCTCTCACCCTGTCAGTGATAGGTTTTGTCCGTACGACCAGTCAGGTGATATTTTCCGCTTCGCCATTTTGTACTGCTGCGCCGGGTATTTATCGCAGAAGTCGTGACTGTTTCGTTTACACTGTTAGGTTAGGCGACAAGAAGGTTCCTTCTTAGTATAGTCGCTTCAGCATTTCAATTCCGTGGCCTTCGACAGGTTTCGTGAAGTGCGCTTTTTGACACACCAGATATAATTAATTTTGTATATTTAGTTTATTTTTTTTTTATACCGTAAAACGTGAGAAAGAATGTCGTCTTCCGAAGGCCCCGAGTACGCCCCGTTCTTCTCAGCGATGGGTGCCTCTGCGGCGATGGTGTTCAGCGGTAATTATAAAAGGATTATATTTCATATATCAATTATTATTTAACCAGTGGTGCAGTTTTCTTTTGCAGCTTAATCCTTTTTGTGTGTGTGTGTGCATGTGTCCCAACGCGGCGATCTCAGCCATAGTACTTCTTTCCGAGCTAAGTGTGAGGGCCGTCCGCTATCGTGGCAAAGCTAATCTCGAGCAGTCGTTTATTTAGACTTCGCTGGTGCAGCCAGTGATTGTTGGCGTGTTCCCAACTTGCTAATTTTTAGTTTGTATTTCTTTGTGAATACAATTGTCACAGCTAGCCTTCCCGCTTCATCATGAGACTGCGAGGACTAGTCTAAGCTAGTTGACTAGCTGATGACGACTACAAAAGTTAGCTCTGGCGTTAGCCTGTTTTGTCTAAAGCAAAAGGCACGAGAGAGGAAGGGATGCGAACATATACGATCGTGCCAATACTCTATTCAAATAAAGTAGTATTATGAGACTGAGTTGTAATATGGTTCACTCGTAACACAGCCTTTTGTTAGGGTGCTTCTTTTAGGCATGTTGGGTTGATTGCCACTTTCCTCTAAAAACACTCTGCTGCATTAAGGCTACAAGGGTGTTGAGTAATAAGTTGTAGGAGTTGTATTAAGAAAGGACGCAATTTTAGAAAGTGAAACTCGTAAAGCTCGAGTTTTTTCGCTCTACATAAACGGTTTGAGTTTTGTTTGTAGCGTGTTATCGAAATTACTGGTTGGTTGAAAACCTCTTTCTTACAACTGAGCACTGGAAACCAGGATCAGCTGGTTAACTTCCTTATTGGTGTAAGGAATGACACAAGATCACATGATTATCACATGATGAGCCTTCTGACTCGGAAATGCCATCTGGGTATTTATCTTCTTACACGTTAACTTCAGGATGTTAAAGTTAAGAAGTCAGCAGGGAATTGTTTTAAATATCAAGTCATTGTTAACTAGTTTCAACAGGACTGGTTTCAGGGCTTTAAGATGGAAAGTGGGAAGTAATATAAAAAGTGAACTTTGATACCTGCTTGTTTTTTTTTTTTATTACAGGTCACAATTGTTTTATGGACTATTTCCTAATTTAATACTTCTCTTCCTTTAATTTGGTGTAATGGCAGTAATGTTTTTCCACACTTCAAAAATAATTTCACATTGACAAAGTTTACAATCATGCTGCAACAGTTAAACCACCAAGCCACTAATTGACCAATTTACAGAGTTGTAACTCCAGGCATGAGGGAGCTCTGTCATATTTATCTTGTTGATACCTTTTTTTCAAGACATCACAAGATCTGTGAAAAATTGGCATTTTCAGACCTCATCATGAGATTTCATGAGCTGCAGCAATTCAGATTCAAATATGATATAGTGAGTGCAAGTAATAAGTAATAATGCCCAGCGATTAATCACGTGTTATATGTAATTGCCCCATGTTAGAATACTTATTATTATTTTTAAGTCTGTGATGGTGAAAGAGTAACAAGTGGGACACTGCAGAGAAGAAAGGGGGCTCGTGCTTGCATGAAAATGGGGACTTTTTATGAATCGAGCTTCAGCTTTGAGCAGTCTAATTGTTCTGTGGTTTCATTAACAGGAATTGTTGCCTGTGCTTCTGTGACATCAATCACTGCAGTGTACATGAGCTCTAAAATAGTGGCTGCCATTTAAGTTTATTCTCAACATGTCGTACTTTAAGGGGTTGGCTAAAGATTCTTACAATAGAATATTTTAAAATGTTTGAACGTATCTGCTGAAATAAGTGGATGCCTTGGTTTTTAATAACGGCACTTGGCGTCCTGCTGTCACATGCTGTGAGTTGCAGCAGGTGTCAGGTGATAATGAATTGTTTTAGTGATCTTTAGCTAAGAACAGGTGTTACAATCTGTGGGACAAGTAGCACTTCTCCTGTGGCAGCATTCTTTCTGTTTCTCCTCCTTCATGAATCACCACAGCACCTTTTCTCTCTGCAGAACCAATAAAAATAAAATGTAGATTTATATCCTGATTGACAAACCTACTGATTGTGGGGTTGATGCATGTTCATTGCTTGAAAAACTGCTTCTCTTGCGCTGCAGTAAATTTTCGATTTCCTGCAAAGCTTATTTTTCTTTTTTCTGCCTAATCATTTTTAGAAAGTGATTTTTAGTTACTTGACCTTTAATTAACATTTGCGTTATTTCTCTGTCTTCCGTGTTGAGAGATGATTGGTGATGGCACATATAGGTTCTAGACATCCCCCTCAAGCTTCTGATGCAATATATCGGTCAGGGCAAGTCTTAGTTTTCACAACCAGCATCTTTTCCTTTCCACGTTGCAGCTAGAAGTCCTGTTTTCTAAGACTGGTTAACGGTTTTCGAATGAAGAAATTGCAGTTTCATGTTGAATTTCTTTTCTTTCCTCAAAACCAGTGCTTCCTCATTTATCTGCATTCATGGCAGACGGATGGGCTGTCTGCTGCGTAGGCATTTCGCATGCAAGATCATCTCTAGCTGCAGGCACCTCCTGCTCTGACAGAATAAGACGTCATAAGGGCATCCCATACATAAAATATTCTGTGGGTGGAAAGGAGGAAAAGCTCTTTACCTACGCTGCGGGGATTAGGATTAAAATCCAGAGGTTTTTCTTCCACACCACTGTAGAAACCATTCTGCCACACATCAAACTTTTAATCATCAGGACAGAATAAGAATGTTTATCAGCGCTCACCTGTCACGCTTGAGTAAGGCCTAATAGACCAAGAAAGAATAGTCGAGGGATTATATTACTGACTGTAATGTATTACACTCACTGATGATGGACGGCTGAATTTTTCTAAACTTTTAAATAGACGAAGGCTGAAGTGTGTTAGCATATTGCCCTGTAGTCATTTGGTTTATCAATATAATAGTTTTCTTTTGGGGAAAATGCTTTAAACATCGCTGCTGTCTCAATCAGTTTTTATATTGAAGCACTTCGGTCAGTGTCACGTCTAATTTAAAGCATTTACACCCCCGGCTGAAAGTTTGGCACCTCCAAAGTCAAAATGAAAAGTAAAACTCTTTTTCTCACTTCTTTTGGTTCTTGCAATTCTCACAAAAAACAATGCCCAGTCATACAAAGACACATCTGAGTAGATGAGCAGGAGTGATTTAACCTCTAGTGATATCATCAGTCTGATGTTAAATCAATATAAGTAGTGAGGGGGGTGTGGGCTGGCTGCGGGCTGGCTGCCATGTGCACATTTGTGGATTGGCCTGAATCTCCTTCCTGTCTGTCTCTAGATCTGTTTGCCAGATATCCTCGCAGCTAGTTTTATTTAAACTGACCAGAAAGCCATCTCTCCAGGCTCTACACAGTGCAGGACACCTCGGGCTGTGTTTACCAGGCTTTCTCCAAGGATGATCTCACAAGAGACTTTTCAGATTTAATCATCATCTGCGTGTTGGCTACAGAGAGCCAAGAAAATGACATTGTCAGGGCATTGGTTTTTACACCACTGATATGACAAGGTCAGCTTAAGATCATAGTGGCCTCATAAATGAGAGGTTACAGATTTACACTTTTTTTTTTTTTTTTTCCCCGTATTCTCAAATATTTTGTTACATGGGATTTGCCAGCTTGGTAACAAAATTTGAGTGCAAAGGCTGTATTGAGCAATATTGTTGAATTTGTGAAAACTGAAAATTTACCAATAAAAATGTGAATGTGTTTATAGCCAAAATGGTGGCCCATACAGAATGTAAGCAGTGTGTGGTCAGAGCTTTGAGCTGTTTGCTTTGAAGTGAATGAACAGGTTTGCATTAATGTGCACACACCTTTGACAGAGGAAACCTTGTCAAACCAGCCTCTCTGATTCTCGACCCTCTTTCAGCCTTTTGTTTGTATATTGAGAAATGAGCCACATTGACCTTTTTTGTCAGGCAGAATTATGACTTGTTGTTAATGGATGTCTTTTCTTCTATATTTGTTTATACTATGCTTTTCTAATTTCGAAACGGGCAACTATTGATTTTTCTTTTACTCTGCTCCTGCCGTCAGACTTGATTGTGTGTGACGCAGACGGTGCCGTTGTAAGTCACAGATCAGCAGAGCTAAATTCGCTGGTGAAGCTTTTTGTTCTCTACGTCCCCCATTACTTTACAGCCTGACAGGCTAAAGATGTTACACAGCAGATGTTGCAGGGTTGTGAATAAATATGTATTCACACTGCAGTTTTGTGTGTGTACTGAAGCCCAAAGTTCTTCAGAGTGTGATATATATACAGCTCTGCAGCCTAATTCTGAAATAACATTGGTTGAATGAGAATACATATTTAATTGTCTAAATCTGTATTTGTAGAAAATGTTTTCATTGGTTTCAATTTGAAGGGGAAAATTTCCCAAGTAGAGCCATGTTGGATTTTTAAAGGGAACAGAAACTAACAGCTGTGTCGTTGCTCCATCTCCTGTTTCGCTTCTGCTTCATTATTCAGCTCTGCCTTCTGGGTTCAGTCATCTGTCTACCAGCCCATTGTGACCTGTGCATTGTAGTTTATGTGCTCTAGTTTGCTGTGTTTTTATTTATCTAACTCGTTATCATTTCTGTCATTCCTTACAGCCTTGGGAGCAGCCTATGGCACAGCCAAGAGCGGTACAGGTATTGCTGCAATGTCTGTGATGAGGCCAGAGCTCATCATGAAGTCAATCATCCCTGTGGTCATGGCGGGTATCATAGCCATTTACGGCCTGGTAGTAGCAGTGCTGATTGCCAACAACACTGCAGAGAAGCAGTCTCTTTACAAGTGAGTTCGCCTGACAAATTATTTTCTATAGATGCACAATTTGCAATTTTTCTTTTTCTTTCTGAAAGACTGACCGTCCAGTTCTGCTTTTAGACAATTTGGATTTCATTGTGTGTACTCTAATTTGGAATATTCAATCATTAAAGGACGTTCTTCCAATCTCGCTCAAAATAATGAGTTCTGGGATGGTGAACAGGGCAAAGAAAAAGTGTCAAGTCCCTCATTATCTAAGGCCAAGTCACACAAGTATAAAGACGAGATATATGTATAAAAATATATAAAATTTCAATCAGTTGGTAAGCAATTGCTGGCAGGCACTAGGTGAAAAAGGCCATTTGCACCAAAAACCACCTTATGATTGCTTTGGTTGCTGCATTTTCCAATAATTTCATGAACAACTCAGACTTCTCTGCAAACAGTTGCCAACCAGGAGCCAAGTGGTGGTAAAACTTGAACAAGTGCAGACGTTTTTGGTTTCTTTCACACTTTTCAGCCTTACTACCACTTGGAAAGTAGTTGGTTTGGAGAGAAGTCAGCCTCTTCCATCTGAACCTTGGGCAACCACGACAACCTGCTAGCAACCAAATCAATCACAAGCAAGTTTTCAGTCCAGCACTGTAAGCCTGTTTCACCTATCACCAGCCAGCAGTCATTCGCTGGCAGGTCGGATATCACATTTTTCCGTAGCAACCTGTTTCACGGTCGCCAATCTGTTGCGGGGATAACTGATCAAGACGGACAATTATTCACACTCCATATTTATTATAAATATTAAGAAATATTTGTTCTAAACATCCTTGATTTCTATCTTAATTCATTTATTCTGTGTAATGCCTGACAGTATGGGCAGTGTGCAGTATGGCCATATACAGGGAGCTTTACCAGGAAAAAGTAATAAGCTATTGAAACTGCTTTTTTTTTTTTTTTTTTTTTTTTTTTTTTTTTTTTTAAAAGAAGTAAAAGTGTTGTGGGGTTTTTTACGCACTTCACTGAGTAACGCACATGATTTGTTTGTTTGTTTTGTTTGTTTGTTTTTGTTACTACACAATGGAAAGGTATAATGATCTGGAGATGAACACCACATGATCTACTTTGGTTTTTTTTTTTGTTTTTGTTTTTTTAAATTTCAGAATGACTTTTACTCAGTATCATCAGACTTTTAGCTGCTCTGAGTGTTTGCCTGGGCTATCGAGTCCCTTGCTATAAGGAAAGTCTGTTAATTGAAAAAATGGGGAATGAGTCATACTGTTGAACTGAGATTCAACAGTATGACTCAGTAACTGGGGGGAAGAATCAAATGAACATGTTGGTGATTGAATAAAATGTTGCATTGGTTACAGCTTGTAAAAGAAATATCAGCTTTTCGGGTCACTAGACTTGTATCGAAGGACAGGCTGTGATTAGTCATATTAGTCTTGAAGATGCTCTGATTTGTGTCAACTTCAAAGGTTAAAGCAACATCTTTGTGCTAACCACTGTCTGTGTCTCTCTCTGTGCAGGAGTTTCCTCCAACTTGGAGCTGGGCTGAGTGTGGGCCTCAGCGGACTGGCAGCAGGTTTTGCGATCGGCATTGTCGGCGACGCGGGCGTGAGGGGCACAGCTCAGCAGCCAAGGCTTTTCGTGGGCATGATCCTCATTTTGATTTTTGCTGAGGTCTTGGGTCTCTATGGGCTCATTGTTGCTCTCATCCTCTCAACAAAAGGTTAAAAAGAGAGAGGAACAGGTTTGGGCGGGGGATTTTGGCACGCAAGATGAAAGAAGTGATGCAGGAGGGGTAAAAATAAATTAAAATGGCTCCATAAATATGGTCTTATCTCAACAATGTGTACAGTCGTCCCAATTTGATAGTCAACTTGTAAATGCGCAATGTAGTGATTTGTCTGTCTTGTGTGTGGGTGTGTGCGTGTGTTTAAAAACAACTGTATGATGAAGATTCCTTTTCTCCCTCCACTTATTTCAGGCTTTGAGGCCAGCTTGGCCTCTGGTCTTAGAGAGCTGACCAAAGGGCCGTACAGCTTTTCTTTTTTTCCCTCTCCTCCCATATCAGCCTGGGAGTTGACACAGTTTCTGCATTAATCTTGAGGATCTATTTGTAAAAAGAAATGTGTATGGACTAAAAAAAAAATTTTTTTTTTCTTTTTCCACTGATTTTATTTATAAGAAATTGTTCTTTGAACTGTTTAATGCAGCAAAAGTCTCTTAATTCCCCAGGATATATACATATATAAATATATAGACATATAAATATCTATATAGATAGATTTAATGCACTGTGGGTTAATCGTGATAAGTGGTTGGAATTCCTCTGGACGTAATTCTTGGTTTAATAATTAAGATTGCCTTTAGTATGTTGCTGGTGGAGTGGGAGTTTTATGTGTAGCTGTATTCTAATCATTGCGAACATTCTCAAACTTCAGTGTTTTTCCTGTAGTACTGCTGTTTGCATTAAAAGTGTGTGTGCCCTGTGTTGGGGTCTCACAAGTGTAATTTCCACATTTCATCTCCTCTCCATCTTATTCACCTGCCCCCTTCTCCTCCCCTCATCCGTGGATGTACTTCATCTCTTCCACATTCCAGCCGTAAGAATCCTGCATGGGTTTTAGTGTTTTGTTGCTGTTGGAATATGAACCTGAAGCACAGGCTGGTTTCAGAAGATTATGATCCAGATCAAGAATCAAGACTTATGATATCAGATTTAAATAATATCATTGCAAAAAATGAGGGTTAAATGGTATTTGGGAGATGTGTTGTAGGATGTAACAGGGAGATTAGTATGCAAAATTCGACCTAGTTTCCTACATGGACTTGACCAATTTGATCTGGAGTCTTGTTTTCTGAAAATGGTACTGCTGCTGACGCATTTTACCGAAGCACCAATCGACAAACCTGTATTGTCACTGGTATTGAATTTATCCTGATGTGTCGACGTGAATGTTTTCACAATTGAATTAAAGATTCCAACTTAGATTTGACTTGCGTCCAAACACACAGACTGTAGCGTTTTCAGTACTCCATATTTTATTGTCGTTTAAAGCCTCTCTTGGGCAGCACAGCTTACCATCGTATTACAGACCAACATACAAAGAAAGGTCAGCTGAGTTGTTAACAGTAGTTATCTTTGTTTTGTTCCGCGCTCAGAGCCGACAATCTTCAAACCACAACAAGTGCAGCTTCAGCAGACATATGCACAAAGTCTGCTGTGCAGCAGAGATAACGGACACTACCAGCATGATCAGTAAATGGTTACATAAGGCTGGAACTAAACAAAGGAAGTCAACACTTCTCATGTAGTTTTCACAGCACAACTATGCAAAATCTGTCTCAGTCAGTTTGTAGGCTGTTGAGCAAAGTCTGAGAAATACTGCTAATGGCACTGAAGGTGGCACTGTCAGGAAATGACTGTGTGAAGTCTCTGCCCTCCTCTATACTGGCGCTGAGAAGAGGATCCAATGGCACACAACCTGAAATGAGTGAAAAGAGATGACTGATCCCACATGAGGTTAACTCTTAATACACATCCCAGCATCCTCTGTTAGTAGTGCAACTCAAATTAGTCATTGATGAAATGTGCTATAGTTTTGTGTGCTGGCTAAAGCTGGCGACTCAATGCCACTGGTGAGCTGATCGATCTGCATTATTGATTTTCACACAAAGTGGTTATGCAGTCAGAAATTATTGAATTATATATTCATCTGAGTGACACCTACTGATCAGTTATGCATCATTCTTTTGAACAAAGTGTCTGCATAGACTTTAAGCAGCATGGAAGTGATGGAAAACCCCCAGAATCATGACTGGTGGGTCAGGAGTGACACTTCCTGCTAGTGTACTGAGACACCTTGTGGCTGCATGCTAGCATTACAAGTAATTCACTGCTGTGACTCTCACCTAGAAACACAGACCCAGTCGTTTTGGCCAACTCTTCACCACCACCCTTTGAGAATACATTGCTGCACTCCTTAAAAAAAAAACGAAAAAGGTAATGATTAAAATAAAATCAGGTTATTCTAAATGGAGAACCAAAGAACGGAGATAAGACTAGAAGAGTGCTAAATAAACATAGTTTGGTGAGTAAATAACTGAGGACATATTAAAAGGAGCACAGTGTCTGATAAGTTGTATATTTCAGTAGAACAAATAAACAGCAGCATAAAGGCTCACTCACAGAGCAGTGTGGACAAACAAATCCACTCATGTTCTCTACGATCCCCAGGATCCGTACACCTGTCTTCTTGCAGAAGGTGATCTCTCTTCTCACATCACCTGTAGATACTGCCTGTAAGAAAATACATGACCAACTTACTTTGAGTGTCATTCATAAAAGAGTGTTTTTATTAGCATGCATTAGGTGGTCCAGCAGTTCTGTCTGTAATAATGACCCCAATAAAAGGAATATATGACAACATATTTTGGTCTTTGCAGAAAATACTACACAAGAGAGGTGCAGTGATGGCCAGTGTTCTTATTTACCTTACTATACAAAACGTGTGTTTTTTCTTGCCTCATTCTGATATGTACCTGAGGGGTGGTGACCAAAATGGCTCCATCCACTCTGTGCTTCTTAAGGTTTTCCAGTACGGCCAAATGCTCATCTGATGTCCCGGGCGGTGTGTCCACCAGCAGCACATCCAGCTCTCCCCAAGCTACATCTGACACAAACTGACCAATCAAAGCTGTGGGTAAAGCACATGCAGACATGGATAGGATGAATGGTAGAACAAACTTGAGCTCAACAGCAAAGTCTTCAAACACTGGGCTGGTGATGCAAACAGTCACATTGCACAATTACTTAAACTTAGTACTGTGAATGCACACAGGGTTGGAGATTCTTGGGAAGCACAGGGTGCTTGTTTGTGGTGCTCTTCAAGACCTCAAAGGATGTCTTGAAGAGCACCTTCACAGGTCTTGTACAGTTCAAGCCTTTCAGATTAGTAGTCTAGCAGATACCGTTTTTCTTGGGACCCCTCCACACCACAGCTTCATCTGGGTCCTCCAATAGAAAGCCAATAGACATAAGGGCCAAGCTCTTCTGGGTGTCAGTGTATACCGGCACCCAACCCGAGTCACACTGGTGCACGTCGGGCCGGCCCATACTCAGCATACGAGGAATGCTTGGCCCACAGAGGTCAACGTCGAGGATGCCAACCTGATTAAACCAGAAGTTCCTGAATGAGCTTCCCATTTGTATGAACATAGTCAGGCATAGCAAAACAAAACAGTAACACTGATGGGTGATTTCTCCATTTAAAAAAAATAATGAATCCAATTAAGCATTATAATGTGTTGGAATATAACAGCATGGTGGTAGGGCTGTTCGATGTAACGATATCGGATGACGATATAAAAACATATGTCGTTTCATTTTATGCTATCCTTTGTTTCGTGGTGTCGCAAAATAAACTGTTTACGGTAATATTTTTTCATGTTTTGATGGTCACTGTAGTGGCTTTATTAAAGTTCTCTCTTTCTCATATATTTAATATAACCACACTATGGACGGACAAGCCCCTGTTTTTATGCGTTGTGGTTAGCAACAATGACGGTAACACCATCGCGTGTCCGCTTGTTTATCTTCCACATAAACCTTTCACAATAAAGCTCAAGATCCTGTTGAGACTTTTCAAAATAAACTGAATCACGTGAAAGAGCAGATTATTTACGGATGAGAAGTAAAAAAGAGGCGCCAGGTGCTAAAAAATAAACCTTAGACTCAAACGTTAGAACAGGCTTTTCCCCACAGCACTCCGTGTAATAAACACTCACAAAGAAAACGGTGGCTGTTACAACTTGTGTCTAAAAATGTATAGTTTCATGCATCGGTTAAAACACTGGACTCCAGCTACATGACGCGCAGCTGGAAACACTTCCCGCAAGATGGAGCTGCCCGAGATTCACAGAATTTACAGAAAATGTTACATTTTTGTGATTTATATCGTTATCGGGACGATAGATGTCTTATATCGGGATATGAGATTTTGGTCATATCGCACAGCCCTACATGGTGGCATATCTTGACATGAACTAAGCTCACCTTCTTCCCAGCATGCTTCAGGGCCAGCGCCAGCTCTGTGGTGATGGTGCTCTTTCCCACTCCTCCTTTCCCTGACAGAACCAACACAACGTGTCGGACCTGGCCCAAGTTTCCATCTGATTTAAAAAGCAGAAAAAAACTAATAAATTAAGGCTTTATTAGTTTAAATTTAAACAAGCTATGAGACACTCTACCTAATCTGGAAACAGGTTTTAGATAGTGCGGAGGGCACGAGCCCAGTTCACAAGTTCAGCATCAAGTTACTGTCGTTACAGTGCACAGTAACTATATAATTATACATGTTTATTACAAACTTCACTTTTCTAAGGCGATGAAGGCCTTTTACTGAGTATTGAACGACACGGTGGTTAATCCTTAGCAAACGACAGTCAAACATAATCTGAAACGGTCAGTTAGCTTCTGGTAGTTAATTGGCTAAATTAACCGTCAACTACCGTCTCCTAGCATGACAATACACAAAATATATGATAATTAAAAACTGCAGGTATCTGCGAATACTTTTGTTCGCCGGTAACTTCGACTTACCATTAATTTCTTCCATATTTTGGATATCAAATATGCGCACAGAACATGAGGGATCAACTTCCGATATAGTCACGCAACACCTATCCAATCATACAATACATCCTACATCCAAGTCCCGCCTTTCTTTAAACACAACCAATAGGTTTCTGAAGGGTAGTGCGCTGCATTCAAGAGCGAAGCAAACGTTCAAAAACACAGAGTAAACACGCCCTTGACTGCATGACAATGGTGATCATTATTTTAATCTGGGTCGAAATCTAGAGTCCTACCACGCCAATTTTTTTTAATCTTTGGTTGAGACTGTTATCTGACCAGAAAGCAACAGTTTTAATTAAATGTCGTGTTTAAAATACTTTACTTCCTTTGACTACGATGACCTGGATGACTGAGAACCTTCACAGACACTTTACTTCTGTGTAAACGCTTTTTGGAGAAAAGCAGAAAAAAAATGCTTTTATTAACGTTGCTGTTGACTGGGAACACAAAAACAAACCACAGAGCAACTTGTTGGGACGGATGAATATGGTTTATAGTTTTTGGGGTTATAAGACTTTATTACGAGAGGAGTGCCAAGCCCATTTTAGAGAAATTTCGGAGTGACGCACAACACCCATGCCCATGGATTTGATTTTCCTCTTTAGCGTTCTCTCTTTTTCTTAAATGGATCGTATTGAAGATGTGTTTTCACAATTCGTCTTTCCATTTAAAACACAAAACTTCGCCTGAATTGGACGTGCACACATTTTCAGCCTTTTTTTCTTTGTTTTTTGTAGACATACAGTGTGGGGAAAAATCTTAAATAGGAATGTGATGGGGGGCGGGGGGGGGGGGGGGGGGGGGGGCAGATGGGATATTGCACAGTGGCAGGAATGAGCAGCAGTACAGACTGAACAGTACAGAAGGTTTTCTTTTGTGGCAGTTGTTACAGTATTGCACTTTTTAAAAAATATATAAATATCAATAAAGTGGAGTGACCAGTGCAGATTAAACAGAGTACTTGTAAAGCAAACAGACTCCTGTAACGTCTGCCAGATGGTAATAAGGAGAAGAGCTTATGTGCTGGGTGGCTGTGCTCCTTGATGATGCTGTGTGCTTTACGGTGAAGACAAATGTCCTGAATGACAGGAAGCCTCATGCCAGTGATGTGCTCTGCTGCCTTCACCACCCTCTGTAGTGATTTACGGCTGCTGGCAGAGCAGCTTCTGTACCAAACTGTAATGCAGCTTGTCAGCAAGCTCTCAATTGCACACCTGTAGAAATTTGAGGTGATTTTGGCGTTCATGCCAACTTATTCGTCTCCAGGTTTGTATTATCAGCAACCCACAGATCAGAATCTGTTCAGTAGCAACAATCCCACAGCATGAATATACCCTATATATAATATAGTTATTATGCTTTATAAATACCGCAACTAGGTGACTACACAAATCAACATGAACTCCTCCTCCACACAGGTCTTATCCAATAAGCTGTGAAGAGGGCGTGGAGAAGTAATGTTTACTTCTGTCTTGTAAGAAGTGGGACAGATGCACGCTGCACCCGTGACACACTTGGATATAGAGACACACCAATGAGCCACTGCAACACAGTGAGCAGGAAGAGTACAGCAAGGTAAGCACAGAATTCCTGCTGGGAATGACACAGTCCTGTTGCACTGCCTGTTATATATGTGCTAAGATAAAGGATCTGATCATATTTAACGGAACGATTCATCGCAAGCGTTATGAAGTAGACAGCATTCCTTCATGAGGAAATGGATCAGATTCAGGTACATGCGTACATTTTCAGTAGTTTTAAACGTGCCTTCATTATTGCTGTGGCAGTCCACTGGCACCTACCTGTCCTTACATAGACTGACAAAGGAGCTGCTCAAACTCGGTGCTCCGGATGATGATGCATTTAGAGTAATGTAGGGTAAGGCCCAATTAAAATGAGACTGGCTCCAGACTAACTAATCTAAATTAATGGCACTCTCCTGCACCTGTTTGCAAAGCGGTAACCAGCTGTTCCCTGCAGGCATTAACCATGAGAGTTAACAACTCAAGATGTGTAGTTTTTAGCAAATAAAGGCTCTGGTTGTGGTTTGGGTCGTTAACTGTATGTTATTACAGGGTATAATAAGTCTGCTACTCATATTATTTTGTAAACAAGGGTACATTTCAGAGAGGCAAACGCTGCCATTGAGGCATGTGATTGTGCATTTGGTAAACAGTTTGAATAAGATTAGATTCGATGTTTGAAAAAGCACACACAGTCTGGTGATGTTCTGGTTATTGCATTTGTAATTACAGTGTTTTTAACGAGTAAAGCTGACTAAGAATGGAAACAGTGTTGTTGACAGCTTCATTTGTAATTGACTGCAGTCAGCTATTATTGTAGTCTCAATAGTGTGCGCGCATTTTATAGCTGTTTACTGGCTGCCACTCCTTGAGCCTGTTTCTGCCAGAGTTTCCAGCCTGTTTTCCTCCTCACTGTTGCCAAGTTCTTGCTCAAAGGTGGTCATATGCTTGTTGGAATCTTTACGTTACAGCTTGAGACGACTAGTGTTGTGATTTGGCGCCATATAAATAAAACTGAATTGAATTATTGCTCTGTTAACAGCCAAAATCACATGATACAAATGATATAGGTTTCTTATTTTAGCTGTAATTGCTGTTACACCTGACCCACTTATCAGTGGTCAGGTGACCCTGGGAGTCCTGTGAAGCATGGGGGTCCTGTGAAGCATGGGGGTCAGCTTTAAAAAGTCAAAGGCGTGCATGAAAACACATCCTGTTGCTAACTGTGGCATATGGGACAGATGGAAATAGAGAAGCTGACACACAAAGATCATTCGAGGTGACTAGAAAGGCTTCCTCACAGTAAATCGTGCAGCTTGTCTCTAACTGTAATATCATATGTGGAAGTGAAAAATAAGGTCAGCAAACAAAACAGCTGAACTGACAGAGAGTAGTTTGGATTGACCTACTTTCAGTTGCCCTGCAGGTTTGTTAGAAACTGGTGAAATATGATAGCAGTGAGAGGTGGTTCAGACATGTTTTTGGGCCTGGGCCTTATTTTGTAGTTAAATTTAGATGAGTCAGTATGCTGCTTATTCCTAGACGACCCTCACCAGATTTTATACAAGGGGGGAGGGGGGGCTTTATATTAACTAAAGTGTCATATAATTATATAGTGTAGTATTAAGTGGACACGGCCCTGAAAAATAAAGGCATTAGACTACGTGTCCTTGGGGAGTGGAATGCTGTAGACTCTCGCTCATGCTTGCCTGGGAAAAAATAGATAACAGGGGACCATCTTCTAGTGAAAAGTTGCTGAAACGCTGTTGTTTAGACTTGAATGAGCGAGCTGGTAATAAAACTGTTAGGGGCACACCACCATTTTGAGATCCGCGGCAATGTGTCATGCAGGAAGCGTCTCTCTTCTAGAAGTATTGTGTAAGAGAATCAAAGTGTGAAATGATACTGAGCAGTGTGTTGTCTTCCATCGGATGCCTATGAGGAATCAAAAGAACTCGGTGAAGTGTTGATATTTAACAAGTACACGTACAGTGCTAAGCAGGAGTTTAGCAGTGACTGCACTTGACATAAATAAGAAATACGTGGCCTCCTGTACTTGTGCCAGCTGGTCATCAGGTGCTGGGTTGGCTTTCCACAGAACTGCAATGCTAAGAAGAGGCAGAAACGGACGGGCTCGGCACTTGGCCTGGAGTCAAACCTGGCAAGAGACAGATGCCATGGCTGTGATCCAGTCATCAGACAGAGAGGAACAGGAGGGTCGGACAGTCACACAGGTGAGACTTTCCTGTTTGTGTTTACTGGAATATAATTGAAACTGGAATTATATGTGGTCATGACATGACAGCATGCCCAGTACTTTTAAAGAATCTTCTAAGTTTACTTGCTTGTATGCATGACCTCACATCACTAGTGATACACAGTGTTCAAAAACATAGCACACAAGTTCCCGTCTGGCTCTTTAGATTGCAAACTTTCCCCTTTTTTTTCCATTCAGCCTTGGCAACCTATGTTGCTCTTTGATAGCAATTTGTTGTGATCCTGATTCAGCTCTACTGCTGGAGCTCACTGCCCCCCTGGACTAGGGCCACGTCCGTGGACTTACAGGATCCTGTTTGTAATGTTTGCGTCAACCAGATCAGTGACTTGGAGCCTGAGGTGGATTACCGGGCCGGGTTCCAGACTGTCTCTGAGGTGGTGGCATTGCCAAGCACAGTACCAGTGAAACGGGAGTCTTTCTTCCACTGTGACCCAGAGGAAGAGCTCAGTCCGCTTCTTGGCGTCATCAGTGACTGTCTCTATGGGGAGGAGGACAAAGGTGAGCAGAAGCTGATGAAAGACAGCATAAAGATGCATGTAAACAATATTATAATTTGGGCATGTTGTAGAGTCTTTATATGCTTACGGCTGTCTGTCGGGGAATATTAACACTATATTCATTCATATTCCAACTTCTGTGCATTGTAAAGGTGTGATTAGTGCCACAACAAGCTTTCACTATCAGTGTCATGTTTAAGGTTCAGGATGGTCAGAAATCAACATCTTCATTTATTTCCTTTGCAAACTCATGAACAGAATAAGAAGGCTGAGAGTCACGTACACACCGATAGATCTAACACGCTCATGATAAGCAGCTGTAACATTTACCCATTAAGATGTTACCATCTGCAAATTATACTGAGCACAGCATATAGCGGTGCCATGAAGTTTAAAGCTATTTGATCACAGATCCCTCAAAACTGCATGATGAACAGCCTTAAAGTGGCGGTAGATGAAAAGCCAAGAAACGTCGGTGTGCTTCGTTTTTGGAAGAACATCTGGCATAACTGCTCGTGCATGGCGTGTGTCCAGGTTTTGACTGGGTGTGGGATGACCACTGTAAGTCCTCTGGAGCCTTTCTGAGCTGTGACAACAGGAAGGTGAGCTTTCACTCAGACTACAGCTGCGGCACCGCTGCAATCCGTGGCAACAAGGAGCTCGCAGACGGCCAACACTACTGGGAAATCAAGATGACCTCCCCTGTCTACGGTACAGATATGGTGCGTAAGAGAAGCTAAAAGAATACTAAAGTTGTAACAAAGTGACCTGAACATGAACATTTTTAAAATGTTTGTTTTGTTTTGCTTTTCTGGTGTAGATGGTGGGAGTTGGAACTTCAGAGGTGAACCTGGAGAAGTTCAAGTACAACTTTGGCAGTCTGCTGGGCCATGATGAAGACAGCTGGGGGCTCTCCTACACCGGTGAGTTATCAGATATAATGACTTTGATTGATAAGAAAACAGTAAATAAAACAAAAATGTTTCTCTGTGTGTTCAAAGGTCTGTTCCAGCACAAAGGGGACAAAATAAAATTCTCTTCTCGGTTCGGTCAAGGCTCGATCATCGGAGTGCACCTGGATACGTGGCACGGCACCCTCACCTTCTACAAGAACCGGCACTGCATAGGTTTGTGTTTTCCTGCGTTTTAAGGATAAGTAGAAGCTTTATTTGTCGGTTGCAGTTGCCTGCAGCTGAAATGACAGACCTACTCGACCATACATAAAATATACAAACACTGGGGAGACAGGTCGGGCTAGGCAGCAAAAAAAAGGGATGGACAGTGAGATGTGTAACACATAGGGGCAATTCAGGAGAAAAAAAATGGTTTCTGCCCATGATGACTTCCAACAAGTGAGTCATCATGAGGAGAAAACAAAAGCTCCATAGCACATAAAGAAGCACAGATATCATCACACTATAACACCATGAAACACAGATAAGCAACATAAGTGGGGAGGGTGGGTGCACCAATGTACACAGTGGTCATGGTCACTGCGATTATTCGCGCCTCCAGCTGAGCCGCTGTCTCCATCGGGTGGGAGGTAAGCATGGGAGGAGGCATTGGATCCGTGGAAGGGAGTGTGGTGAGTGCACGTCAGTATCAGTGTGCATGTGTGCGTGTCGGGGTGTGTGTCCTGAGTTCAGCTTGAGAAAGTGTCCTTTCGCCTGTTAGGCCAAGATCAACAGTCCGCAGCCTACGCAGGTGGCCTTGAGGAATAGGGCAGAGAGTCAGGTTGTTCTCGTTATCATATCTCTTGGAAGCATGTTGTTGTTCTCCTCGGTGTCAACCTTCAAGTAGCTGGCACCATCGGGGGGTGGGGGTATAGCCACATTAGAGATGTAGGTAACTGGTTTAGGGCGAACGGACTGCATCCATTTTTCAGTTAGTTACGTTTGTCTGCATATTCTAATAATCCCAATGGGCTCTGCCTGTCCTGCCAACAGGTGTGGCTGCAACAAGGTTACACAACAAGAAGTTGTACCCCATGGTGTGCTCCACAGCAGCCAAGAGCAGCATGAAGGTGATGCAGGCCTGCTATACACCCACCTCCCTGCAGTACCTTTGCTGTGCAAGGCTGCGCCAAATGTTGCCGTGTTGCCCAGACCTGTTTAATGCCCTGGATCTGCCCCCTGGCCTGCGTGTCCTCCTCCACATACAGCTGGGCTGGGTCTTCAGCCTCAGCAGCAGCCCCGAACCCTCAGAGGAGCAGGAGGATTTCGGCAAGACGAGCCTGCCTTCGAGCCCCTGCCCCAACCTGAGCCCGGTGTCCAGTGCCTGTGCTTCCCCCAGCCCCTGCACCAGTCCGATTCCCAACACGGACCCTTACCCGTCACCTCAAACTCATTCCAGCGCTTGCTCCTGTCCCCCATCTCCTCCCAGCAGCGACTACGAGAGCTGCTGCTCCGAGCCAGAAGATTATCAGTGCAAAAGGTGCCGTTGGACTTGACCACGTGGTCCAGCGGAGGAGATGTTTGACAAAAAAGAAAGAAAATTGGCACACAGCTTTTCTACCGTTGCCACAAATTTCTCCTTTTGTTGATCACAGAGAGATATTTTAGCCAACATTTGAGTGGATCGTTGCTTATTTGTTTGCTATGTAACAAGTATTTGTCTTCCACATAATGTTGAAATGAACAAGAACAAAGAGTGTGTGTGTGAGAGAGTGTGTGTGTGTGTGCGAGTGAGAGATGAGGCCTGCTGCCATTTAAAGAGGTTAGATTCAGAGAGAGAAGAGGCAAACAAAAGGTAAACTTCTAGAAAGCCGTAGACTCTGGAAGGAACAGAGGTGCTTTTTGATACTGTGAAATCGACTTTTTGTAAACGTGTTTTGTAATCGCCATTTTGCTTAAATGTCAAAGGTAGCTCTGCACTGCACTCTGCAGTTTTTTTTTGTTTCATTTTCTATTTCCAGTTTTTGCTACTTTTCTTTATGGATTTTCTTACTCAGGTTCATTCTTTAAAATAAAACCAAAAAACTAGAAAGTGCCTGCTTCAGCTTATTTATTCTAGAAAGATTCATACATATACATACAATTTATGCAGCTTATATATCTCCTATTTATACACAAAAAGCTGTGCTGAAAAACAGTCATCACATTATTCCCTGTACTTCAGATTATATTCTGGTAATCTATACATTTAATCTGCAGGAGTTAAAATGAGAAGAAAAAGTGCTTTTCCTGGAAAGTAAATCTCAAATCCAAGGCATATTTTTAACTTGTAAACATCAACATTAACATATTAGCAGCCAAGTGGAGACAGAGCATTATCAGAAACCAGATTCGTCCTCGCTGATGTCTCCCGGTCTTCTTGCTCTCGGATTAGTCCAGGACCAGCTGGGGGTTGTGGGCTGTGAGGCAGCGATAGACTCGGGCTGAAATCTCCGGTCCCACGCGTCTCTCTTTGCCTCCGCTTTTCGCTGAGAGGCCCGCGAGCAGCCCTTTTCTGTCCTCCTCTGACCCCAAGCTGTTATAAGCCTAAAATGAACAGAACATATTACAGAAGAAGAGTTTTTCTTCACGCAAACCTTATCAGACCACAGCGTCTCCTCACCTGTAGCAGCAGCTGGGGAGATGGATAGGATGCGGTCACAGCAGAGGCCACAGCAGGGCTGACTCTGTTCAGCTGCTGGATCTGCCTGCTCCAGACCTGAATCAGGCCGGAGCCATCCTTCTCTACCCAAACCCCACTGGCCCATGAGCCATCCACGCAAAAGGGCAGTTCTGCTCCCTCTGTCAGGAGTCTGCAAGAGCACAAAGTGGAGGTTTCATTAATTCACAGTCAGCCGCTATACTGTCTATGTCAGGGCACAGAACTGTGGCATACTTGAAAGGGCGTTTGGACAAAGCTTTGGTGACAGCACAAACATGATCAGTGACCTCCTGCCAGCTATCCAGGAAAACCACGGAGATATTTTTGTAGAGCTGTAGATACACGAGAACCTGGAGATGAAAGCGTTTCAAAAAGAGAGAGAGAGAGAAAGCTATTTGTTATCCATCAAGCTTTTTTGAAGATGTATACGAGTTCAAGATTCAAAGTGTTTATTGTCATGTGTACAGAGAAATAGCATCTCTCTGTGCAATGAAATTCTTCCTTTGCTGTCCATACACAAATGCCAAGTTAGATAGGGTTGAAGGAACAAGACCAATAAGGATAAAAATAATGAAAGATAAATAAATAAGTACAACAATAAGTAAGTGAAGACAAGTGAGGTACGCAGATGTTGATGTAAATGGATGTACAAAGGAGCTTAATGTACAAAATGAACTTAGTGTCCTGATGTGCAAATTGCAGTTGACGTAGGTCAGCTGTGAGTTGTGTGTACATGTGATAAAATTAGGAAGTAAGAATCGCAAATCCTTGAAAGAAAGACAGAGATTCAAAGCAAACTGACCTCCTCAATGTCCAGATGATCCATCCCCAATTTGTATTGTAGAGGCACACTGTGGGCGTTTGACCTGTTGGTAAACAATAGATCAGGTCATACAGTTTCCGCACTTTACTTATAATCAGAAAGTGGAGAAGTGAAGGAGCCACTGGGTAACAGAGGAAGTTAAGTATTCCCAGTTAAGCTGACCTGTAATCTGGCTCAGAGTCTGTCACTAACAGAGTGACCACCTTCTTGCCATCACGGTTGAGAAACTCCAAAATCGGACTCCAGAAAGACCCCACCCCCGTCTCCACCGCTTGGCTGTGGATAATCTGCGGAGTGGCAGAGCGCAGTGTGAGTTCGAGGAGCCACAGCTCCTTCATACAGTCAATGACACCATTACAACAGCTCAAAGGACTGCTTACTCTATTCACAGAGATCACTACATCCATGAAATCAGCCAGACTCAGGACCAGAAGCACCTGCTCTTCCTCCTCCACCACTGAGACCATGCCACCTTCTCCCTGCTAAAGCCAAAACAGTAATCCCTCACGGGAATCAACAAAAATGTAGCAAATTGCTAAATCTAGATTGAGTGAGCTGCCTACCTGAGGTAAATCTTGGGTCCAGGCGATGCTGCCAACGAGCTGCTCGCTCTCGATGCTGAACTTCCAGTCAAGGGAAACCAGAGTGTCCAGCAGGACGTCTGAGCCATCCTGCTGCAGAAGAACTGAAGAAAGATACAAAACAACACAGCAATTTGTGCGTTTTTGTGCATTATAAAGCCCACTGCCATCCCCGCAGGAGTCATAGTCAAGGAAAATGACATTTTTAAGGTGGTGCCTTTTAGGCTGGAAACAACAGCCATTACTTAAACAGTACTTAGGTAATGGTTCTTAAAGATTTAGACAGGCCCTTGCAAGGAGCATTGAGTCACTGATGTGGAACGTAGACCAGGATGGAAATGCAAGACTGCAGTTTGACTTTGCTGCACTTTTTCCCCCTTAAATTCAAACTGGACATCTTGTTATTGGTAATGACTGTGGAGTGGGGGCGTGAACGCTTTTGAGCTTATGCAGGGTGTTGAAGAAGTAAAGATGCCGTGGAAAACTGTATCGTAAACTAGAAATACAGAAAATACTCTTTAAGAGACAGGGATGGGATCATACATGGCACAAATACAGTCAACACAAAAGAGATCCTACCTGTGTCATTTTACATCTGCACATATTTATTTATTTATTTTTAAAGTTGGCCCCAAATTGTAGTTGTAAAGTTAATTTCCGGCGACACCTGAAGGCATCCCTGTGTCCGTGTGTACCTGGGTGTATGCAGACAGTGATGCATTTGAGGCAGTTTTCTGGCCGGAGACTCTTGAGGGTCTTGGCTGCCTCTCTCCTCCTCTGCTGCTCCCGTCTCCTCTCCTCCTGCTCCTGGGCTCTGGCCGCTCTCTGTTTCTCTCTCGCCTCCTTCCTCTCCTTCACTTTCAGCCTGTCCTCTTCTATTTCCTCCTTACTGCGACGTTTCCTGGCAGGACTCGGTGTACCGGACCCACCTGCTGCTGGAGGAGCCAGAGCAGCAGACCCCCCCCTATTTGCTGCTGAATTGTGTGAACCCTGCTCCTGCTTTTCTGTGCTGGCTGTCTGGATGCTGTTATCGCTGCCCAAACCGGGTTTTGTTTCAGCGTCGCTGTCCTCAGACTCAGAGATTTCCCACGTTTTAGCTCTCCGTAACAAAGACATCTCACATGTTAGAGTCACAGCCGAAGTCCTTATTTGTAAAACCCTGAAAAAAACTTGGGAATATATGAGTGGTACGGCATTGTTTGTATAAGCCCACGATGGTGTTCGATGAGGGACAAATCACCCAAAACTCGCGATACTTAGTACTGATGGGATTTCCAGCTCTTTTTAGAGAACCGTCTCTTTCGGCTCGACTCACTAAAAAGATTCGACTCTTTCGGTTCCCAGCCGACTCTTCAGGTTGTTTTGTTGCTTTAATTAATTTATTATTAACAACAATATAAAATTGTGCTCAAAAGGAATTACTATTTGTAACCGAGGACAAGGGATGAGTAAACGGGGCAAAGAAATAATTGATCATTTATTTATTACATAAGTTAAACATACAAATTCCCAGTCGTTTCCAGACAGGACTTACAACACATCCTGCCGATATCCCAGCTGCGCATGAGACTTACCACACAAACTGTGCGAAATAACACTACAACCCGTCACACCCCGCTTAGTGACACTGCAATCGTGGCACACACTGCAAACAATTCGGGTCTCAGCGCAGCTGGGAATCAGTGCTATGTATGGCCTGTGATCTGAGAGATAAAGGGAAGTGGCACAAACAATTAAAATAAAAAAAACAAAAGAGAGGTTAGTCCACCCTTACAAAACTTACTCTCAATCAATAACCGCCTCTACGGCTGGACGGACTAACCAAAACAAAATTACAAATCAATCAAAAGAACAAAAAAAAGGACAGCAGAGACAGCACAGCTGAAAAACAAACAACATTATCAATTAAAATATTACCCAATAAAATAGCAATTTTATAAAACCATTCAAAATCATGAAACTAAAACAAACACTCAATATACCTACAATATTGATCAGTTTCCCTGCGCGCAGTCGATCTAGGGCTTGATCAATTCTTCTATTAAAATTCGTGGTCACACTAAAAAAGTCCAATGACACATTAAAAAATAGGCACATGCAATAGCAAAGATCCAAACAAAAAATGGCAAAAGTCTCTTACCGACAGTATACCCACTCGCACCTGAGTGAATTAATTGCCTCTGGTTTTTTCCACAGAAGAGCGCTGACTTCACCCCACACACCCACTACCTTTTCACAGCTCTTCAGCCAATCACCTGGCAGCGAGCAACAAACTGCCAGGTGACACTTGTTACAACCCTCCCCTTCAAAGGGCATCGGCGACCCGACGATGAGCTGAAAAGAGAGCACACTTAAAATTTTGCTCATTTTATAATGGATTGTGGCAATTTAAATGGGTTTGAGTGCTGTCCAGCAGTCTTCCTCATTGACCTACGAGACCCTTGCGTCAAGCTGGCAACATCTTCCTCCCCAGGTTCTAGGTCCCCAGAACAATCCAAATGGGGCACCCCCACATGTGTGGGACTCAACGTCCCTTCCTCCAACACTGCAGAATCGCCTCCATCTCCCTGTTCTGTAAACATCTGTTCCACTTCATCAACCATACTGTTATTTGTGGCCAACATTCCGGTTAGATCATCCTGTTTTGACATTTGTAGGCCACTATCTTGGTCTCCATCCAATTCCCTGATTGGAATGTTTCTCAACTCAGTTCGATGTACTTGTCGAAGTGGACCAGTGTGCCCAGCAGGAGCGACTGAATATACTACGCCATGACCAGGAGGAGGTCGCACTACTTGAAAGGGCGTGGGATCCCAAAAATCTTGAATCTTATTGCGACCTCTTACAGAGTGGTTTCTCATATACACCAAATCGCCCTGCTCCAAATCAGGACTAGCACATTTAGAGGAATTCAAATCTCTCTGAACCCTTCTCCTTTCTAACCGTTGCTGCACAACATCATATGCAGCAGCCAAGGACTTTTGGTGTTCCTGTACCCACTCTTCAAGAGTGACGTCCTCATCAACTTCACTGCCAGCACCCAACCAAAAATCCACTGGCAACCGTGGCTCTCGCCCGAACATCAAATAATATGGAGTCATACCAGTTGACTGATGTACTGTGGTGTTATACGCATATGTGACTTGGGAGAGATGCCGCGGCCACCGGCGCTTTTGTTCAGGAGGCAGGGCACGCAGCAAGTCATGAAGTGTACGATTAAATCGTTCACATTGACCATTACCTTGTGGATGATAGGGTGTCGTCCGACTCTTCTCTATCTTATAAATTTTACACAGCTGTTGCACCAAAGCGCTTTCAAAATTTCGCCCCTGATCAGAATGTATACGGCTTGGAGGCCCAAATAAATGAAACCAATGCTTCACTAAAGCCTCTGCCACTGTACTGGCTCGCTGATCTTTTGTAGGGACAGTCTGAGTATATTTAGAAAAGATGTCAGTCATTACCAAAATATTCTCTTTACCATCAGTTGAGGGTTCAAGTACTGTAAAATCAATTGCCAAAATTTCATGAGGCCGAGATGCAGAAATACTACCCATAAAGGTTTTAATCTTTGGCACAACAGCCTTAGAAAGAACACACCTTTCACAATCTCTGCACCATCTCTCAATATCTGCATACATGTGCGGCCAATAATATCGCGAGCGCACCAACTGCAGTGTACGCTCAACCCCTTGATGGCCATGCTCATCGTGGAGTAAACGAAGGACGCGGCCCTGTAAACACTGTGGCAGCACCAGCTGGTCAACCTCCCTCACTCCATCAGGAGTATGAGTGCAGCGATACAACACAGACTCCCTTTGTTTCATCCGCCCCCATTGACGGACCAATTCCCTCGAACCCTTACCAAGACCATCTCTTTCCTTTGAATCTGGCAACCTGGCCACCTCCCAATACTTTAAGAAGGGACCAATCACAGGGTCTTGTTTCTGTAACGTACAGAGATCAGAGAAAGAACAACCAGGTAAAACGCTTATCTCTGCCTGAACACTGGGAATCATCTCACACTGCACTCCAATATCATTAGATAATGGACCATCCAATTCCATTACAGTTCCATGTAGGCGGGACAATGCGTCTGCATTAGCATTCTGAGCCCCAGGCCGATATTTTATGGTCAAATCAAAAGCGGCCAGCTCTGATGCCCACCTCTGTTCTGTGGCACCTAGCTTTGCCGTGGACAGATGGCTTAGTGGTTATTATCTGTAAATACAGTGCAACGATGACCCAAAAGATACTCCCTAAACTTTTCAGTGACGGCCCACTTGAGAGCTACAAGCTCAAGCTTCATGGAACTATAATTTCTCATATTCCTCTCTGTAGGCTTTAAGCTCCGACTGGCAAAAGCTATTGGCCGCAATTTACCCTCATACTCCTGGGAAAGCACTGCCCCTAGACCCCCATAGCTTGCATCTACTTCCAATGTAAATGGCTTCTGAAAATCAGCAAAAGCAAGCACTGGTGCAGAAACCAGAGCAGCCTTGAGCTGATGAAAACTTTGTTCACACTCCAAATCCCAAAAATCCAATAACGGTTTTGGGGGGTCCTACCTTTTCTACCTGGAGGGAGGAGTGCAGAGACCAATCTATGCAAGGGAGCAGCCATGCGTGAAAAACCAGCTATGAATCTCCTATAATAACTAGCAAATCCTAAAAAGGAACGCAGTTCTGCTAGATTGCTGGGCGTTTTCCAATCCCGCACTGCAGCTATTTTATCTGGATCAGTAGAAACTCCTTCGGCAGACACCACATGCCCCAAATATTTCACTTGCCTCTGGAAAAACTGGCACTTGGAGAGTTTCACTTTAAGCCCCTCTTTATCCAGACGAGAGAAGATTTCTTCCAACCGCTCCAAATGCTGTTGCACGGAGGATGAAAAAACAATCACATCATCCAAATACAAAAGCACCGACTGATGTCTGCAATCTCCAAACAAACGCTCCATCAGGCGCTGAAATGTACTGGGTGCATTACACAAACCAAACGGCATGCGGTTGAACTCAAACAAACCAAATGGGGTACAAAATGCAGTTTTAATCTTATCCTTCTCAGCCATTTCCACCTGATTATAACCACTAGCCAGGTCCAAAGTGGAAAACCACTGAGCACCAGTCAAAGCATCCAAGGATTCTTCAATCCTTGGCAGAGGAAATGCATCCTTTCTGGTCTTGGCGTTTAACTGTCTATAATCGACACACATGCGTAGACTTCCATCCTTCTTTTGAACAAGAACTATTGGGGATGAGTACGGACTACTACTTTCTCTGATGATGCGAGCTTGCAGCAGCTGTTTGATATGATCCCTTGCCAGTTCATACTGAGACGGAGGGATTCGCCTGTATGGTTGTCGCACTGGTGTTTCATCTATCAAAGGAATTTCATGAGTGATCAATTTACTACAACCAACATCCAACTCATTCTTGGCAAACACGCCGCTATACTTCTGCAATAAAACTTTTGCTTGCCGTTTCTCGCTCTCCTCAAGACTTTCAAATTCAGGCAAATCCAATTCCGCTGCATTGTCTGCCATTGTATGACTGGAAATATAAGCTGTACAACACTGTGAATTTACAGAGACCTGTATTTCAGAGTTACCCTCTGCTAGCACACTGGCCAGTTGAACTGTAGCAATCACCCGACGAGGTGTCAAATAGACATCAGTTTACCAACATTAGTAACTGGAACAAAAGCCTCCCCTCCTTCTCCTTTACCAATGAAGGAGACACCAATAGGCCTTCCGGGAGAAAACCATCATCAGGCCCGAGGGGTTCAATCAAGAGGTCAATAGGTGTATTCACAGGCATCTTTGGACAGGTAACAGGAACATAACTTTGCGTTCCAGCTGGAACACAGAAAGACTTCTTACCCTGTACTCTAACACGATGGGGTTCAGGAGAATTTGCCATGGCCTCCATCATTTGGCAGTATCTCAACGCTCTTCTCCAACCACGTGGCGCAGTCTTCAAAACTGGAGCTTCCCAGAGGTCAGAACCATATTGTTTACACAATTCAGAGTAAAGGGGGTTCAATACATTCATTCCTAACACACCAGGTACAGATATCTTTTTCTGTGCCATGTGGCTATCTGTTGGATCTCCCACAATCAACACCCCTCGACGAGGTAGGTGAATTCCCAGGATTGTAACATCCAACTCAATATACCCAGAATAAGGAATTTGTAGGCCATTAGCTGCTTTAAGTCCCAACCAACCACAGTCTTTAAGCTTTTTATCACTGAGATGAGAAAAGTTATTTTTAAAAGAGCTTTCTGTGATTGTTGTGACCATGGACCCTGTGTCCAGCAAACATGAAATAATAACCCCACCCAAATCAACCTCCCCTTCCAAGCATTCACCAACTAGATGACCGAGTTCTACATTACTGGAGCCTTGCAACCCTCCCACCAGTGTGTGGCTCTGTGCACTGGTGGGTACTAGTTTTCCGCCGCCCCAGTAGTTTGGCCATCAGCCCTAGCTGCTCTTTCATGCTGATTTCCATCAGAATTGGGTAATGTCGGGCAAAATCGGGCAATATGTCCAATTTGCTCACACCTAAAACAAATGGGTTTACCATTCACCGTCCTTCTACGTCGAGAAGTGTGATTGCTAGAAGCAGCCACCTCCTGTGGGTTTAATGCCTTAATCACCAACTCTAATTGTGTCTGTTGGGCTTTAAAAAGGGACACCAACTCAGCATATTCTGATGTTCTAGAATCGACACTTTCACAAGAAGCTTGCATATCTGCAGAGACTGAAACAGACTGATTATATCTAGACCTAAAAGGCTGATTCTCATACTGTGCCATCCACCTGGTCGCTTCGGCTCTCGCCTCACGAATCGTCCACTGTGGGTTGGCATTAATCAAATCTCTCAGCCTGATCCTCAATGTCAGATCTCTAACACCATCACAAAATTGATCACGCAGATCTTTTGAAGCTTTTCTTGCGGCTTCCTCATCCGTTTTAATAATCTGGTCCATTAAGGCCATCAAGGAATGAGAAAAGTCAATTAAGGACTCGCCTTCTAATTGTTTACGATTGAAAAATCTGCGTTGCAAAGAAATGTGGGAATCTAAGCAACTGTACATTTCTTTCAGTGTATCAAAAATTTTCTCAACATTTTCTTTCTGTTCCTTTGGCAAAAACTTTATCTCAGTGCGTGCAGTACCCTCTAAATGGTTAAAAATGATTTGAGCTTGCTCTTTTTCTGTTCTGCCTCTCGTGCGCACAAAGTCTCTCATTTGCTCAATCCACTCATCTAGAGTCAGTGAGCCCATATTGTCCAACTTCCCTGAAAATGTTGGCAACTTTCTATCCTGTTGTACGTATACCACAGGATTGGGTCTCACAGTCTCTGATTCACTTCCTGTAGCTCCTGTTGATGTAGAGGGCCTCTCTGTACCCACAGATGCTGTTTTCAAGTCTCTAAGTTCATTCTCCAACTCCTGTATACGTTGGGCCATTGTTTGTTGCTCGCTTCCCTCCATGATGGCGATCGAGACCTGGCTGCTCCTTCTCTCCAATCTTACAAACCTGTCCCTGCTGTCCTTACAAAATAACAAAACAAAATGGCCACTCCCTTGAAACCTGTCGACAACGCCAAAATGTAACCGAGGACAAGGGATGAGTAAACGGGGCAAAGAAATAATTGATCATTTATTTATTACATAAGTTAAACATACAAATTCCCAGTCGTTTCCAGACAGGACTTACAACACATCCTGCCGATATCCCAGCTGCGCATGAGACTTACCACACAAACTGTGCGAAATAACACTACAACCCGTCACACCCCGCTTAGTGACACTGCAATCGTGGCACACACTGCAAACAATTCGGGTCTCAGCGCAGCTGGGAATCAGTGCTATGTATGGCCTGTGATCTGAGAGATAAAGGGAAGTGGCACAAACAATTAAAATAAAAAACAAAAACAAAAGAGAGGTTAGTCCGCCCTTACAAAACTTACTCTCAATCAATAACCGCCTCTACGGCTGGACGGACTAACCAAAACAAAATTACAAATCAATCAAAAGAACAAAAAAAAAGGACAGCAGAGACAGCACAGCTGAAAAACAAACAACATTATCAATTAAAATATTACCCAATAAAATAGCAATTTTATAAAACCATTCAAAATCATGAAACTAAAACAAACACTCAATATACCTACAATATTGATCAGTTTCCCTGCGCGCAGTCGATCTAGGGCTTGATCAATTCTTCTATTAAAATTCGTGGTCACACTAAAAAAGTCCAATGACACATTAAAAAAATAGGCACATGCAATAGCAAAAGATCCAAACAAAAAATGGCAAAAGTCTCTTACCGACAGTATACCCACTCGCACCTGAGTGAATTAATTGCCTCTGGTTTTTTCCACAGAAGAGCGCTGACTTCACCCCACACACCCACTACCTTTTCACAGCTCTTCAGCCAATCACCTGGCAGCGAGCAACAAACTGCCAGGTGACACTTGTTACATATTGTAAAAAAAAGTGGTTTTATTTATATATGTTTATATATAAATATATACGGTGGTCCCTAGAGACAAAGCACTACAAACTCCAAAGCATGTACAAACTCCAAAACACATTTCTAGCATTAACTGAACTTCCAAAACAGAGCTACCTAGATCACTTAAATTACACAATTGAAAGCATATGTGTATTGTTTGTGTATTTATACACAAGCACTCATATAGATTCAAATAATTTAAAAAAAAAAGTTCATTTACCTGTTACTACCACACACCAAATCCGGTGTTCCAGATCTACTGGCGTTTAGATCAACTGGCGTTGGTCGAACAGATGTGTGGCAGTCTTGCGTTTCAGTAGCTGCTACCGACAAACCAGCAAAAAAAAGCCAAATGTGTCATCTGTGACACTTGTGAGGTTGTCTCAAACACACTCCGTCAGTCTTGATGCTGTTGAACAACAAAATGTTTAAAAATGTGGCGAGTTTACCTGGTGATATCCTCATGCGCGACGCGATCGCGAAAACAGCAAACAAGTAACACCACGCCGATGTTGTCCACAGGACAGCAAGAGTAAACGATCGGGAGACTCTTGTCGTCGTTATCGTTCCCCTCGCACGGTTTATTTCTCCGAATTCAGCGTTTTTGCTTCACAACTACAGCGAGCAGTTTACTTTGTGTGCACTAACATGGAGTCGAGTCAACCAGCGCCACCTCTGGCCAAGTGCCACAGCCTACAGCCAGATCAACCTGTGACACATCTGCACCACGTTTGAATTCGTGTCATGCACATTTGTACCTTTCAATTGTGTCTGTTTGTGCGTCATGCAAATAAACCTTTGAAATGAATGAAATGATATCATGTATTTATTATCAGCCTACATTTGTACAAAATTCCAAATTATATACACAAAGTCATAGAAATCACCACTCCAATTGGTCATCATGATTTTAATATTCTCTTTTTCCATAACAATGAAATACGCCTTGGACAAATATGACACATCAATATTTCATTAGTGTTGTCACATCACGTCCTGTAAGCATCGTCTGTCTGTGTCTTTTCCCTGAAAATGAATATTTCCAGCCAATATAGGCAATCCATCAACATGGCTGGAGTTATATACAGTCTGTATAAGTGTGGTTAATCTAATGAACATTTGTAAGGAGACGGCAGTTACTGTGAATTCACAGCAGTTACACAGTGATTAGTAATAAACAGCCAGTGAGAGTGAGTGGATATGACTGTTCCCACCACTAACACATGACCATAGCCCACTACTAGATTAACTTGTGACACATCTGCACCTGCTGCTATGATCACATTGAGTAGAGGCTGAGTGGCTGCACTTACCCCTGGTACATCCAAATCTGCCCACAAACATGTTGAAAGATGCAATGCCAGCAATGTGGATTGTCAACACTAAAAACAATCGGTAAGCAAAGACAACAGGGATCAATTTTTTCTGTTTATTTAGCACCCACAACATTTGTAGTCGCCTTCTGCACAGGGGAAGTCCACACACACCGTGTGGTACCACTTTCCACAGAAGGTGCAATCTGCAAGATTGAATGAGGTTGTCAGGGTCATTGTCTGACTGTTTATTACTAATCACTGTGTAACTGCTGTACATTCACAGTAACTGCCATCTCCTTATAAATGTTTATTAGATTGACCACACTTATGCAGACTGTATATCACAACCAACTCTAACATGTTTGTTTGCAGAGGGAAGACACAGGCAGACTACGCTAACGACATGTGATGTTACAACACTGGTGAAATATTAGTGTGTTCACGACATTTTTCGTATGGGCAAAAGTATTGATATCAGGATGGTGATTCTTATGTGTATGTCATTTGGCATTTTGTACAAATGTAGGCTGATAATAAATACATGATATCATTTCATTCATTTCAAAGGTTTATTTGCATGACGCACAAACAGACACAATTGAAAGGTACAAATGTGCATGACACTGATTCAAACGTGCTGCAGATGTGTGTCACAGGTTGATCTGGCTGTAGGCTGTGGCACTTGGCCAGAGGTGGCGCTGGTTGACTCGACTCCATGTTAGTGCACACAAAGTAAACTGCTCGCTGTAGTTGTGAAGCAAAAACGCTGAATTCGGAGAAATAAACCGTGCGAGGGGGACGATAACGACGACAAGAGTCTCCCGATCGTTTACTCTTGCTGTCCTGTGGACAACATCGGCGTGGTGTTACTTGTTTGCTGTTTTCGCGATCGCGTCGCGCATGAGGATATCACCAGGTAAACTCGCCACATTTTTAAACATTTTGTTGTTCAACAGCATCAAGACTGACGGAGTGTGTTTGAGACAACCTCACAAGTGTCACAGATGACACATTTGGCGTTTTTTTGCTGGTTTGTCGGTAGCAGCTCCTGAAACGCAAGACTGCCACACATCTGTTCGACCAACGCCAGTTGATCTAAACGCCAGTAGATCTGGAACACCGGTCGTTGGTACTTTCTGGCTTGTGTAGCCACTAGGATCCTAGCATCCTAGAGCACTTCTGTTGTGGTTTGTACGTGTTTTGGAGTTTTTATGTGTTTTGGTGTTTGTACATACTTCGGAATTTTTACGTATTTTGGAGTTTTGACGTGTTTTGGAGTTTTTACGTACTTCGGGGTTTGTACATGCTTTGTCTCTAGCGCCCACCGTAAATATACTTTAATTTATTCACTCCACATAAAAGGTAATAAATAAATCTTATAATACTAAAAACAACTATTTACATTTCTACTTTTAACCATTTAAATTTTCAGCTTTTTCCTGTGAAACAAATTAAAAGTGAAACAACACAAAACACTGCAAACCACAACACAATTAAATATAAATTAAAATATGAAAACAAAAAGAGCATGCACATTCTGTAAAGGTCCAGTTTTGTTTATTGATCTAAGCCTGAACAGCTACGCGTAGTGTCCAGTAGAGTAATTTGCAGCCCTTGGAATGCGGAGCGAGGTACATGTTTTAAGTTGTATTTCTTTGCTTAATTGATATTTTGTTGTATTTTCTGCTTTATTTGAGTTCATATTTGTAATAAGCGTCTAAGAAAATGTATTTTGTGTTTCTGTTTAGTTTTCACGGTGCATTGGCGCACCTGGCGCACTGTTAGATTCTGAATGAATCTCAAAGTAAAAATTACTGCAGCCGTCGAGGCTCTCTCTATTTCTTCCTTGGTCCGGGGGACTGCTACAGTGAAAACTCGATCGCTGAGTGAAGGCTACTTGCTAGCTCCCATGCCAGATGAGTGCAGCCCGTGCCACGAGCTGGGTCCGTGTGTCAGCTGTGAGAGATTTCTACACCTGTTATGATATTTTGATACCACGGTAAGCATTTACAGGATATTGTTTTATACAGGAAAACTGTTACTCAATAAGGCCAATCTACTAGTTGTTTTTCTCTTTCTCTGTGACCCAAGAATTAATGTGAGACTCACAAGCTGGTACCTCAAGGTCGAAAACACCACAGAGATGAGACCACTTCTTTACTCCCATCCTCCCTTTTCTTTATCTCCTGGAAAAGGCTCGTTAAAGGCTAGGTGGTTTGTTTCAGAATTCACTGATGAAAGAACTCTGTATTCTATGTCTAGGAGTGTATTTTGCTGGGATGATCATAAATTATAGCTGAACTGATAAACTACACAAGGGATACTTTGCTCAGAAGGCAGGAAGACGTTTCCTTATTTGGTCTGTACCGGTTTGAACTGGGAAAGCTGACACACGAACCTTTTTTTTCATCTATATAAACTGCTGTGTATCAAATAAACCTTTGAGTCGATTGGGAAGGCAACCTAAAGCAGTCTCTGTTTTCTTGTTCTCCCAAGCTGCTCCCGAGCTCGTACTAACACGCTGAATGGCATACCTGAGTGTTACTTTAAATAATTAGGAATCTTAGAAGGAAAGGACAGAACTCTGCTTATCGCTCACGCCACGGAGGAAACCCGGGAAGGCAATTTCCTTCAACACCAGTCAAGATCATCTTTGCTTCGTTGCCTACTGTTAGGTATTTTAGTACCATGGGAGCATTTACTGGATATTGTTTTATAGTGACATTATGCAGGAAAACTCTGTCATTCAATAAGGCCCCTTTGTTTTAGTTATTTTTCTCTTTGACCCAAGAATTGATGTGTGAGAATCACAGGCTGGTACAAGGTTGAAATACCACAGAGATCACTCCCTCAGCTACATTAGTTTCTTAATCTTTTAGACGCCTGTTGAAGGCCAAATGGTTTGTTTCAGATTTCACTAATGAAAGAACTCTTTATTTTGTGCCTTGAAAATATGTCGCTGAGATAATCACAATTGTAGCTGAACTGATAAACTACACAAAGGATGCTTCTTCACCCATGGGCAGGAAGACGCTGCCTTATCTTGGTCTGATAAATCTGCTGTCTCATGAATTTTACCCTCTATATAAACTGTTATACTTGTGAATAAAGTTGAGTCAATTTGGGAAGACAACCTGAAGCAGTCTCTGTTTTCTTGTTCTCCCAAGCTGCTCCCGAGCTCGTACTAACACGCTGAATGGCATGCTTGAATGTTGCTTGAGAATGTATTTGACTGTGTTACAGACTAAGGGACATTCTCTGCTGATAGACGTCCACGCCTCGGAGGAAGTCGATCCACGGATTAGGCCCTGGAAACCGTTTCCTTCACCTACCTCCCCTTTGAACTCTGATGGTCACTTTACGAAGTTGCAGGTATTATGCCCATTAAGGACTTTGCTGATAACAGGACTCTGCACTCTAATTCAGAATTACTTGCCTTAAATATTTTTGTGGTTACAGCCTTAAAGGTATACTGCATTGCACTGAGTAATTACAATCTTTAAATTGTATGGGTTTATTCTTCTTGAAAGTAACGTATATCAGCGGTATTTACAGTTACATTTTGTCTAATATGTGGGTGCTAATCTGTTTATTTATGTGATGTAAACGTCTGATGTGAGCATTGTTTCCAAAAGTAACACTCACGTAAGTTTAAGTCCAGACGTTATCGCATAGAGCAACATACACATTACAGTAACAAAATGTTGAACGCTGCTGAAGAAGCCGACGACTCAGAGCAACAAGGAGTAAGATCCAGCAATCGTGAAAGGCATTTAACTGAAAAGGGTAAAGAAATGCAGGAATATGAGGCAAAGAAAAATGAGAAGGCATTTAACAAAGCTTATGACACTTGGAAGAAGGCAGCTAAAGAAATCAGAACAAAGCTGAAAACTTTCTGCTCACCTGAAGAGCTAAACAATGCCAGTCATGACATAAGAGACAAGCACGCTGTAGTACAACAGCATTATGAACCCGTTCGCCGCAGCCAATCCATGACGCCCGACATTGTTAAGCGAATGGATGCTTGTGCAGTGCTTACAACTGACATTTGTGAAGTTGTTGCTAAACGACAGGAAAATATCGATCAGCTCTTTAACGATCGCCTTGAAAAGGAAAGAGTACGAGTGATGTTAAACAAAAGGGACTATGGTTCTGTGTTTGGTGATACAAAAACTGAAACGTCGTTCCCAGAGGGTTCAGTTGCACGCTCAAAGGCAGATTCTACTGGCAGTCGTGAGGTGGAAGCAGAAGCTAAACTTGCAGCCAAAGTGGAACAAGCAAAGGCCACACAAGAAATATTGGCACAGGAAACCAAGATCAGCCAAATGGAAAATGAGTGAAAAATAAAGGAAGTGGAAACAAAGGCAAAGTTGGAGGAGGAAAAGACTAAACTTCAACAGTTAAAGGCAGACAGTGAAGTGAAAGTAGCAGCTGCACGAGTAAGAGCCCTTAGCGCTCAAAATGACATTGAAAGCCATGATCAAGTGTCCTGCTACAACTTAGAAAATTCCGCAAATCTCCCCAACATCGCACCACGGCTCTCTTTAAATCCACAAGCACCAACATTTAGACTAGGGCTGCCACAAACGATTATTTTGATAGTCGACTAGTCACCGATTATTTATGCGATTAGTCGACTAATCAGATCATCATCCACTGGACGTAAAACTACAGCTTATTGCACCAGCAGCAACTGCTCTTATATAACTATCATTAGCTTACAGCTTTAAGCTTTTAAGGTGCTAACTAAAAATAAAGACAAGATGATAGTTTATTCAATTTTAATGAAATTTGCAGATTGTTTCGGTGAAGTTTAATAAACTCCTTGCTATCTAAAATATAACAGGACAACGGAGTATATTCTCCAGCATCTCACACTTCTGATAATCAGCTGTCTGCTTGACGTTTATTCAGCTGTGTAAAAACTATAACTTTAATCTCAGACAAACCGATTTACTCAGGAACAAATAAAATACAAAAAAAAAAAAAAGCCAAACAACAACATTTTTAATTTATCTAAGTGACTCATATATATTTAACCTGAGTAGCGAAAGACGGCGGTGGGTTTGAAAACAATTTGCCGGGAGTCCGGTGTTCTCACCGCGCTAGTGACCTAGCCCCCGGCTAGCTATCGAGCTAGTGGGTAACAGACGTCTCCGAAAACGTCGGAGCGCTTTTGAAAATATGTGGTGTCCTGATAAACTGAGCCGATATTTGAGGTTTACACAGCTACATTCTCGGCTGAAAATATGTTAAACGTTTATTTTGTGACCCAGAAAGAATAATAAGAGTAATATTAAAACTAACTAGCTGCCGCCATTGTTGGAAACTGAGCTGGGCCGCGCTATGAATTCTGGGACACAGCTGCTTCTTCTTCTTCTTCTTCGGGGTTTAACGGCAGCTGGCATCCTTGTACATGCAGTGCTGCCATCTTCTGTTTCAGTCCGTTATTACACTCTTAAATCCTGCTACTTATTCCTGCGTCCTTTGGGATCTTACAAAGCTTCAAACGACGCGTCGACTATTAAATCAGTCGTCGACGATTTTGATAGTCGACGTAATCGTGACTAGTCGACAAATCGTGGCAGCCCTAATTTAGACCTCACAATACTACTCCAGAACGTGAAGAACTTAGCTTAGTTCAAGCCCTCGCTAGCTCTCTTACCCTAAACAGGCTTCCTGTACCTGAGCCCACCATCTTTAGTGGCGACCCCCTAAAGTTTATGGATTGGAAGGTATCCTTTATGGCACTAATTGGTGACAAACCTTTACCTGTGTGTGAGAAAATGTTGTATCTAAAGAGCTATCTTGCAGGTGAAGCACGAAAGGCAGTAGAGGGATATTTCTTCCGCAACAGTGAGCAGGCATACGCAGGCATTTGGAGCGTTTTAGAGGAAAGGTATGGCAGCCCATTTGTTATCCAAAGAGCCTTTAGGGCTAAACTCACAAAATGGCCTAAAATAGCTGCCAATGATCCTAAAGCACTGAGGGAGTTGGCAGATTTTCTCCAAAGCTGTGCAGAGGCTATCCCTCAAGTCAAAGGCCTAGAGATCCTTAATGATTGTGAGGAAAATCACAAGCTTCTAAGAAAACTGCCTGAGTGGATAGTGCAGAGATGGAGCCGCATTGTGGTGGAGGAGCTAGACAAAAGCCAAGACTACCCCAACTTCGCTCGCTTTACAAAGTTCATACAAAATGAAGCTAAAGTAGTTTGCAATCCTGTTGCCTCACCATTCCTAATAAACGAAAGGGCATCAGAAGAGCGGCATGTTAAAAGAGCGAAGGCACTCAGTACTACCATCCAACCAAAGTCTCCACCAATCCCAGTATCTACTTCTAGACCTAAACCCCCATGTTTGTTTTGCAAAGAAGAATCGCACGGCATAGCTAAGTGTCCTGCTTTTGCAGCGAAAACTAGTGATGACAAGAAAGTTTTCATTCAAGAAAATCGTCTCTGCTTTGGGTGTTTGAGGAGGGGTCATGTAACCAAAGAATGCAGAGGACGTCACTCCTGTAGTAAGTGTGGTCGGCGTCACCCCACCTGTCTACACACAGAAAGAGTGAATGAACCTAAAGAAAAGAAAACTGAGGATTCTAAATCCCCAGATGAAGGTGCAAACAAGGAAGTGCATAATGTTATGACTCATGTACTAACAAGGAAACTATCTTCCACATCCAGCATAGTACCAGTATTTGTGTCAGTTGCATCTGAGCCTGAGAAAGAAATACTTACATATGCCCTGCTTGACACCCAGAGTGACTCATCCTTTATTTTAGAGGATTTGGCCTCAGAACTAAATGTAGACGCCCAACCAGTGCAGTTAAAGCTTAGCACCATGACTTCCATCGACACAGTCGTTGCAAGTAAACTTGCCAACAACTTACAGGTGCGTGGGTTTGATTCTGAGACTCGTGTCCGAATAGAACACGTCTACTCTCGTGACTTTATCCCAGTTGACAAGTCTCATATCCCTACCAAGGAAACGGCACTTCAGTGGCCACACCTTGAAGGCTTAGCTAACAAGTTACAGCCATTACAGAACTGTGAAGTAGGTCTATTGATTGGTTATGACTGCCCATCAGCACTAGCCCCCCTAGAGATCGTCACAGGCAAAATAAACGAACCTTTCGCACAAAGAACCCTACTAGGATGGAGTATTATTGGTTCTGGTAATCCTCACCTAGACAGAGAAGGTAACCAGAGTTATGTGCACAGGATCACAGTCAAAGAAATGCCCATACCATCAGCCACAGAAGTACTCAAAGTCCTAGAGACTGACTTTAATGAGAGAAACTATGAGGATAAGTATGTATCACAGGATGATGTTCGCTTCATACAAATCCTCAGTGATACAATAAAACAAAGACCAGATGGGCACTATGAGATGCCGCTTCCCTTCAAGGGCAATGATCCACCAGCGCTTCCCAACAATAAGAAGTTAGCCACAGTCCGACTGCAACACCTGAAGAAAAGGCTAAAGGCTGATAAACAGTATCATGAACATTACTGTTCCTTTATGAGAGACATTATCAGCAGTGGTGATGCAGAATTAGCACCTCCTTTGTCTGAAGGCAAGACTGCATGGTACATACCACACCATGGGGTATATCACCCGAAAAAAACAGCCAAGCTAAGAGTTGTCTTTGACTGTTCAGCAAAATTTCTCGGTGTCTCATTAAACGACACTCTTCTCACAGGTCCAGATATGATCAACTCATTGGTGGGGGTACTCTGTCGTTTCAGAAAGGAAAATGTAGCCATAATCTGTGATATCGAGAGAATGTTCCACCAGTTCTCTGTTTGTCCAGACATGTGCAACTATCTGAGATTTCTGTGGTGGCAGGATGGACAATTAGACAAAGAACCCAGAGAATACAGAATGGCTGTACATCTATTCGGTGCCAGTTCATCCCCTGGATGTGCTAATTTCGGCCTGAAATATTTGGCACAACAGTACACAGCAGACTATCCTAAGGCCTCAGAGTTTGTTGAACAGAACTTTTATGTAGACGATGGTCTAACTAGTGTCCCATCAGTTAAAGAGGCACAAGAACTCATCACCGAAACACAAGCACTTTGTAGACTTGGCGGTCTACATTTGCACAAGTTCAAAAGTGATGCGCTTTCCCAGCTGGAACCCTCAGACAGAGCAGACACCACAGAACCGCTTGATCTCAAACCTGACACAACAGCTGAAGGCCATGTGCTCGGCATCCAGTGGTCAATCAAAAATGACACTTTCAGTTTCAAAATAAACACTAAGGACCAACCTCCTACTCGCCTGAGCATACTGTCAGTGATCTCATCCCTGTACGACCCACTAGGGTTCGTAGCTCCCTTCACCTTAAGAGGCAAAGTTATCCTACAGGAACTGTGTCGCAGAGGCATTGAATGGGATGACCCCCTTCCTGACAACTTACGCTCACGGTGGGAGGACTGGAAAGATGGGTTGGAAAGACTAAAATCAAAGGTTGCACTGCCTCCACCAGGAAAGTTTGTGAAAGAGGACTTATATGCAAGGAAACGTTGGCGCAGAGTCCAGTATCTCACTGAGCAGTTTTGGAGTAGATGGAAAAGAGAGTACCTTCTGAACATATCTATGAGACAGAAATGGCACCTACCACGTCGAAATCTTAAAGTCAATGACATAGTCATTATCAAAGAAGACATGCTTCCCAGAAATCAGTGGCAACTGGCTCGAGTGGTTGAAGCTCCAGAAGAAGATGACGGTTTGGTCCGCAGAGTCAAGCTTCAAGTTGGCGATCGAGGCTTAATAAAGAAGCAGGGAACAGCACACAAACCTCACGTAGTTGAGCGACCTGTTCAAAAGCTTGTAGTTCTATTAGAAAATAACTAATTGATGTTTCAATCAATACTGTCACATACTGTACTGTACTGCAAATTTGGGTATTAAGTTGTTTAAATGTACTTACAAAAATAAATGGCCAACATCAAACTATAATCAGTCCAATGAGCAGTACAGAACCCTGATTGTAATTTATATAATGTTTTATTTCTCTAGGACACCTGTAAGTTACTTAGCAACAAACACATACGTTTCTGTCCAGGTGGTTTTAAGATATGAGTTTCCCAGTATCAGCCACAGAAGAAGCGGCCGCTCACTCTGTTCATGTAAACGACAGTGAAGGATATGATTTTTGACGCTGTTTCTACAACGAAAACGATGGCGCAGCCGGCGGAAAAAGGTACGTCTCACTGCAAAGTTAATTATTAAAAACACAGCAAGTCAGCACAGATTACTGATACGAACCAGACCTCTGCTTGTGACCCTGAACACGCTTCCCTAAAATCTCAGCATTTTATACTTCCACTGGGATTACAGAATTACATACTTTTTTCTCCTTAAAAACAAGCTAAAAACCAAAACGCACAATAGCGCTTTGTTGAAAGCCAAAAATGTCCTCAGACATAAAGACAAGTATTTGTTATATTGATCTGAGGCTGTTGCCTTTTTAAATCACCTGATGTTGCCCTTTCTTTATTGTGCTTCACTGTCTTGCAGCATACTATCGCTTTGTGGTGCTCTTCTTTAACTGTCTGCTGACCTTTGGGTCCTACTTTTGCTTCGACATTCCCAGTGTGTTACAGGATCAGTTCCAAGGGGTGAGCAAGAGGCAGCGCTGCTTACAGATCGCATCAATATTGCACGACTTGATTATCAGGAGGGAAAGACTGATGTTGTTTTTAATGTTTGACAGAACCTGACGTGTCCCAATGCGACGGTGATCAATGGGACAGTGGACTGTGTGGAGGGACTGGGGATGACCCCTCAGCAGTACAATCTTCTCTATGCCATCTATGCTTGGACGTAAGCACGTTAATGCATTGATTTCACTGTGAAAATGCAGAAAAGTGGCTTATCAATGAGAAGCTTCTCTCTGTTATCAACAGGAATGCAGTAGTGGTGATCCTGGCTGGATTCCTGATTGACAAATTAGGAAATCGCTGTAAGTTTTGTTTTATGTTTTCTCTCTGCATGGTCTGCAGTTATTTTTAATCTACTGACAGTAAAATGATGGTACAACCATTTCTTTTGCTCCTCTTTGCAGTCGGTGTGTTTCTCTCCTCTTTTCTCTGTGTTTTGGGCTCATCGCTGTTTGCTCTCGGCTCCCACTTCAAGGGATCTCCCTACTTGCTGCCGCTAATGCTCACAGGCCGTCTGCTGTTTGGATCAGGCACTGGATCTCTGACTAGTAAGTTCCCCTCATGTATATGGGCGATCGTGGCTCAAGAGTTGGGAGTTCGCCTTGTAATCGGAAGGTTGCCGGTTCGAGCCCCGGCTTGGACAGTCTCGGTCGTTGTGTCCTTGGGCAAGACACTTCACCCGTTGCCTACTGGTGGTGGTCAGAGGGCCCGGTGGCGCCAGCGTCCGGCAGCCTCGCCTCTGTCAGTGCGCCCCAGGGTGGCTGTGGCTACAATGTAGCTTGCCATCACCAGTGTGTGAATGTGTGTGTGGATGACTGGATATGTAAAGCGCTTTGGGGTCCTTAGGGACTAGTAAAGCGCTATATAAATACAGGCCATTTACCATTTACCATGTATATGAACAAATATTCTCTGCAGCGTTGCCTTTGAGGAGCATTTCTTAACCACTCAGTTACCTTTCTCCTTCTTCATTAGTTGTTCAGAAACGCATCACAGCCTTCTGGTTCAAAGGGAAGGAGTTGGCTTTGGCTTTCAGCCTGACCGTGGCCCTCTCGCGGCTGGGCTCGGTGTTGAACTTCTTCCTCACGCAGAAGTTTGAAGAAAAATATGGCATGCAGTGGACACTCTGGGGTGGTAGGTGACGAGTGTGTAGAAATCTCAAGGCTTATGGTGTGGTGCCATGTGACCTGGGTTTCTTATGTTATTGTTTCTTAGGCGCACTGTTGTGTGTGCTGGGCTTCACTTCCGCTGTCATTGTCAGCACCTTGGACAAGATTGGAGTGAGACAGCTGGGTCTCGATGGAGCCATCCAAGAAGAGTCTCGCAAAGTGGTACGATCAATATCCTTTAATAATAACAACATGCATACATAACACTGAAGATTAAAACCTTAATTTTTCAGTATTATGGACACACTAGTGATCTGTGTGTGGAGCATCATTTATTGTTGTGTGTTTTTATGTGTAGAGGATTCAGGATGTGAAGCTCCTGTCAGTAAGATACTGGCTGCTGGTTCTCACCATCATGTTCTTCTACAACGGCGTCTTCCCCTTCATTGCTGATGCAAGGTAGAGTTCTCAACATAAAGTGTGAGCATAAAGACTTGTACATGCAGAGCTGCTTTCAGAGTCATCCGTGAAACTTAAACCTGCATTCCTCTAAATACAACAGCACGTATTGCAAGTGATACTAGTGTCACAAACATTTACATCTGTCTTCTTCTTTTTTCTTTTTTTTTTCCATATCCCAGCAAGTTCATCCAGGATAAGTACAGCTACTACAGCCAGGAGGAGGCAGCTTATATTGTGGGAGCAGTCTATGACAGCTTAGTGGTCCTCTCAGCCATCGTGGGCATTCTCATTGTACGTATCTTTAATTTAAACCCAAATCTTATTCCTGTCTTCAATTCAATTTTATTCATACTGCACCAGATCAAAACAACTGTCCCTGTAGGGTGCTTTATATGGTATGCTAAGACCCCCCCATGAGCAAGGACTTTGTGACAGTGGGAAGAAAAACTCCCTTTTAATAGGAATAAACCTTCATCAGGTACAGGAGGAATCTTGAAACACTCTCGCTGTCATGCGTTCCAGGATTATGTGGGTCTGCGGGGAGTTTTTGCATTGGCGAGCGCCGTCTTCACGCTGCCCGTGTTTGGACTCCTGGCTTTCACTTTTGTCCCTCCTCTGGTTTCAACCATATGGCTGGGAGTCACCTACTCCTTTGCTGCTGTGAGTGCGGATTTTTTTTTTTAAATTCATTTTTGATAAATAAAATCTTAGACGTCAGAGTTAAAATGGTAAATTATTACAATGAATTAATGTATTTTCTAGTATGTTAAACTTGTTGCTGCCTGTGTGGCATTCCAGGCCAGCATGTGGCCGTCTATTCCCCTTGTCGTACCTCAGGCAACTCTGGGAACTGCCACCGGCCTGGCCACCTCCGTACAGATGTTTGGGGTCGGGATCTCCAATCTCATTGTTGGACAGATACTAGGCACCAAGTCCAGGTGGGGAGAACCTGACATTAGAATCTCATTGCAGTGCACTTGTTTAGAAGGTACCATGAAAGCTGCAGCAATCGCTTCAGAGTGTCGGGTCAGAACATTTGTTAATGTTCACATGAGTGTGGAACAAAACAGCAGAGTCCAAGTTGTCGTTCTTCATATTTAAAATTGAGAAGTGTGTGTGTGTGTGTGTGTGTGTGTGTGTGTGTGTGTGTGTGTGTGTGTGTGTGTACAAAGCATAATAATGCAAACCAGTTACACTTCAAATTACATCATACACATAAAGATACAGCTGAGCTGTACTCAAATGCAGTATATAAATAAATAAGCTGGCATATTACTTCAGACTGGTTATGTAAACCTAAAGTCAGATAATATGAATTAACACACATACAGCTATGCAATGAAAGCAACTTCACACTATTTAACATCCAGTACACAGAGCACAGAAACAACAAATCTCTCTGCTAGAAGCTAGTCAGTAATAAAATCTGTTATGTTAGCGAACTGCCACTTATGCAGAACCTCATTTAAACAGAAGCACAAAGAACTGCTCATATGTCATCAAACACGCTAAACATGGCTAAACAAAAACATGACTAAGTGAAGTACCTCTTTAAACATACGGTCTCATGAGCACACGCACTGTCAGTTGTTTAGCTGCTGTTTGTCTCTGAGATGAAGCTGCCCACATGCACACCTATGGTGCATTCAAGGGTACATGGGAAATCCCACACACAACTCTACCTTTTTGTACAGCACTAATTGTCCCTCCAGTCTTGTTTAGCTCTGCAGTTTCTCCATTTGTGTTGCAGTGAAACTAAGATCCCGCTGTGGCGTTGGCAGAGGATGATGATCTTCATGTTGGCCAACACCATCAGCTGCATTGTGACCTCAGTGCTGCTTAACGTTGTTGATCACAGACAGGTCAGACATCTGAGGTTACCTCATTTGGTTACCTCATGACTTTATTTTCTCGAAACACTATCAGCAGAAAGTTAATGATGCCCCCCACCCTTACAGGACGGGATCCTCAACAAGACAACCAAGAAGTCAGGGCAGGCACAAGAAGGCTCCAAGAACTCGGGCGCAGAGAAACTTGAAGTGAAAGCCGCTCACCCAGGCAGAGGAGAGGAAGAGCCAAATGAACAGAAAGGAAAAAGTGCACACTTTCTTTAGTAAAGTAGAAGTACAGATACCTGGGTTAAAATAAAATACTCAATTAAAAGTTGAACTACTGAAGCAAATTTTTTACCTAAGCAAGAGAGAAAAAGTACAGGCTCTGAAATGTACTCAAAGTAGGCAAGTAAAAAGTTCTTGAAGGACAATTCTACTGAATTGTCCTTCAAGAACTGTTAAAATGACAATCAATCTAATTGAAACAGCTGCATGTTACAGATGTGGCCTCAAAGATTTGTAGTTTAGATTTAAAAGCACTTAATGTAATGAACTCAGTCATTTTCCATTCGTTCTGCAGTTTGTTCCAAGCTAAGGGTGCTAAATGAACAAAAGCTCTCTTACCAAATTCATTTTGGGCAAATATACCATTTATACTGTCTTTACACTAGACAGTATAATGTTGGAATTCAGTGAATGAATCTAAGCATCACTACTATAAAGGGACTGAGTAAGGTGCTGCTGAAATGGTGGTCAGCAGTATTTCTCATGTCAGAGATAACAGAACTACCATTAAAGTCAACCTCAGGTCCTTGGTCGCCTCCCTGACTGAGATACTTCTTGCAAGAAAAGCATGTGAAGAGTCCTGCCAAATCAAAAGGTCTTCTACTTCAATGTTCTTTAAGTCAAAGTGTTCCTGAATGCTTCTGAAGTCATTTTGTAAGCGTGGATTTTCTTCGATGTCATGTTATTCGTCTTCACATGCAGTGAATGAGTAACTACCATCTACTTAGGTATGTGTCTGCTTGTTTGTTTGTTTTTAAGCAATATTTAACTCATTACCACAGGTTGATTTCACTCAGGTTATTAAATGACAGATTTTCATTTATTTGACTTTATTTACAGGACATAAGTAGATAATTCAATTTTAAAACACATTTTATCTCTGCTGAAATAGCTATAATAACTACTGCCATGAATAACTGTGTGGACATTACTGCTGTTACTAAATCATGTTATATACACTGAACAAAAATATAAACGCAACACCTTTGTTACTGCTCCCATTCCCCATGGGATGGACGTAGAGACCTAAAATTCATTCCAGATACACAATATAACCATCCCTCCCAAACAGTGGTCACAAATCAGTCCAAATGTGTGGTAGTGGGCACATCTGCTATATTGAGATAATCCATCCCACCTCACAGGTGTGTCACATCAGGATGCTGATCTGACATCATGAGTAGTCCACAGGTGTACCTCAGACTGCCCACAACAAAAGGCCACCCTGGAATGTGCAGTTTTGTCTCACAGCAAAATGCCCCAGATGCCACAAGCAATGAGGGAGCGTGCAATTGGCATGCTGACAGCAGGAATGTCAACCAGATCTGTCGCCCGTGCATTGAATGTTCATTTCTCAACCATAAGCCGTCTCCACAGGCGTTTCAGAGAACATGGCAGCACATCCAACCGGCCTCACAACCGCAGACCTCGTGTAACCACACCAGCCCAGGACCTCCACATCCAGCAGGTTCACCTCCAAGATCGTCTGAGACCAGCCACCAGACAGCTGCTGGAACAATTGGTTTGCACAACCAAACAATTTCTGCACAAACTGTCAGAAACCGTCTCAGGGACGCTCAACTGCATGCCCGTCGTCCTCATCGGGGTCTTGACCTGACTCCAGCTCGTCGCCGTAACAGACTTGTGTGGGCAAATGCTCACATTCGATGGCGTCTGGCACGTTGGAGAGGTGTGCGCTTCACGGATGAATCATGGTTCACATTGTTCAGGGCAGATGGCAGCTGAGAATGTCCCAGTTCTTGCATGGCCAGCATACTCACCGGACATGTCACCCATTGAGCATGTTCGGGATGTGCTTGACCGGCGTATACGACAGCGTGTACCAGTTCCCACGAATATCCAACAACCTCGCACAGCCATTGAAGTGGAGTGGACCAACATTCCACAGGCCACAATTGACAATCTGATAGACTCCATGCGACGATGTGTTGCACTGCATGAGGCAAATGGTGGTCACACCAGATACTGACCGGTTCTGGGTCCCCAGACCCCCAATAGTGCAAAAAACTGCACATTCCAGGGTGGCCTTTTGTTGTGGGCAGTCTGAGGTACACCTGTGCACTACTCATGATGTCAGATCAGCATCCTGATGTGGCCACACCTGTGAGGTGGGATGGATTATCTCAATATAGCAGATGTGCCCACTACCACACATTTGGACTGATTTGTGACCACTGTTTGGGAGGGATGGTTATATTGTGTATCTGGAATGAATTTTAGGTCTCTACGTCCATCCCATGGGGAATGGGAGCAAAAACAAAAGTGTTGCGTTTATATTTTTGTTCAGTGTAGTTATGGATGTTAATTAAAAGATTTAATGATCTTGCAGGCCAACAGGTTAACCCACAAATGTTGGCAAATGGAGATCAGGAACCTGCTAATGGCTTCCTGAACGATCTGTATCTCGCTCTCCGTGATTATTGTTGCTATCTACATGAGCTAATAGCTTCAGTACTGGCACAATATGACAATTACCTTTACGGGGATGAAGATGATGACGACGATGACGACGACGACACTGATGTTCAAAATATTCATGTGAGGGACAATGGTGACAACGATGAACAGCACGGGGATCACAATGATGTGGTTGTGATCATTTTCAATGTTGGTGGAATTGAAAATGAGGAGGCATTTGAAAACCGTGGGGGTGGTTGCCAGTACATCCCAGAAGAGGACCCTCAGCCAGGTGTTTCCAGGAAGAGGTCTAGAGAGAGGGATGAAGAAGATTTAGGAGCAAACAAAAGAATGAGATGGAGCGATGATGACTCTGAAGTATTTGAAGATGCGCACGAAGAGCTTGATCATGAAATTGGAGGCTCGAGGAAGCGTTCCCGAGAGGATTTTGAGGAAGAAGAGCAATACTTGCCTGTGTGCAAACTTCAGAGGTGTTCAATTGAGTCGACCAGCAGCAATGAAGACTAAGACTACTTCGACGGGTTTTTTCAGTATCCTTTCAGTAATCTGATGGCCTACTCAGGTGATCCTGAATCCTCTATGCTGCAATAAGCTGGGCATACACTGTGCTGCGATTTTTCAGTCGCGTTATTCGGCTCCTGATCAAACTGTAGGATTGACTCGCAGGGGTGAGAAGTTTGATCAAGGCCAAACTCGGGACGATCCCCAAAACGATCGCACGACTGAAAAATCGGCTCAAAATGGGCCAAAAATCGCACAGTGTATGCCCAGCATTAGGCTGCGGGGGGATTCCCATGATGCACTGGGTGTTTCTTCTTCACCCACTATGTTTAATAGACCTCTGCACTGAATGGTACTTGTTATTAACCTCTGTCTCTGTTCCATGTCTTTATACTATTTTCCTTGCCCCTCCCCAACCGGTTAAGCCTAGTTACCACTGGAGATGGCAGAACAAACTGGCGAGGAGTAGCAGGCAGCGCTGGTTTAAGAAGCCCTCCTGCTGATTGTTTGCAGATGAGGCCCAGGTGAGATGCTGGAAACTCCACCTCTGAAGTGTGGACACAGTATCCCCATTCCAAGTGGAAAAGCCCCTCAGACACTTCCATGGTGCATGACAAGAAGGATGAGAAAGCATTCATGGTCCATCCATCCCTCCGTCAGCGTAATGCCTAAAAGTTTATTCAGATGTAAATGTATTACATTTTTAAATAAAGATCATCAGTGTTTTTAATGACGCTGCAGTTCATTCACGTGTCTCTATTGGACAGTGTTGTAGAAGTTACAGAAGACAGGAATCAGTTCCAGCTTGGCCTGACATTTGATCACTAGTGATGTGTGATACCACTGATTTCCTTTCCGATCCCATACCAAGTAAAATTCAGGGTGGTATCGACGATACTGCTCCGATACTTTGTACAAAAACTTTACTCTTTTATTGTATCTCAAATTATAGCGTCATAATCATTACAGGACATCAGATTACTTGTTCTTATCACTTAATAATGCAGAATTCATCATATAGAAATCAAAAACCTGAAGTTGTGCACTATGTGAACACCTTGCCTGCCTGCAGCACTAAAGGACTCCCTGAGAGACGTCTGTCTCACCCTAGCAGCACCCGTCCTTCTCCTCCTCTTCAGTTTGCCTCAACATAAGCTCGTCATATTCTGTGATATGATTTACTTTGAGGTGTTTGACAAGGTTAGTGGTGTTGCCACAACACCTCACTTTCTTGCCACATGTATCGCAAACCACGTCTGGGCTGTTTGTGGATGTAAAATACGTGCGCACATGACTCCAGTTACGCTCAGCCATTGTTGTGAGTGCGCACGCCACAGGCTGCCACACATTTATACAGCCGTATTTCACACATGACTATAAAAGGCGGAAGAGGGAGTAGTTCTTTCCAATGTAGACAATCTGAATGATAGTTTCTTTCCACTGTGTTCCTGTTAATGAAAAACTACAATTTACCCCAAAATGATTCAAATATCGATATTTTAATGTGGAAACCTTCTGTTTCCACATCTGGACTTTCTGTTGCTGCCCACGCGGGTGAAACTTTCTTTGAAGTGGCTCATTGAAGTTGTAATTGATAATCAATTCCCACACAATGAGAGAATCCAATCAATTTGTTTATCAGGGGAAAGGTGTGATTTCTTAGGACACTGGAGCCTAACATTAACTGGTTTAAAATTAGCTTATTTCCATAAGAAGAAAAACATACTGAGAAAGAGATCACCAAAATATACATGTACAAATGTGAAATAGTCATATGTAGTGTGAAAGAGCTATTTGACATCTTTAAATTCAAAGTAATGTATAAATCCACTTACATAAAACATGAAAAGGCGGCGCAGCGATGCCCATCTCAGCCAGTGTATGATGGTGGGGCAAGATGGCAGCTTCCACAACATGACGCCAGCTCCTATGTATTTTTAGTAGATAAATGATACGTTTATGTATCAATTTGTTGGAAGATGTAATTACACCTTAATTATGTAATTAGAAGCAAAAATGGTTTTTTTTTAAATCAAATCACCTCAAAAAATTACTGTACTTACTTTCTAAATCATTCTTTACCTCTGAAAGGGGTGGCTGTGGCTCAGGAGGTGGAGCAGGTCATCTACTAATCAGATGGTTTTTGGATCGATCCCTGGCTGCTCCAGAGTGCATGCTAACTGTCCTTGGGCAAGACATTAACCCCAAGTCACTCTCTGATGCATTC